TTATACCCAGATAATCGAAGTCACAATCATGTTTTCTATAATTCGCTTATGTTAGAAAGGATAGGAAACGTTTTTTCTTTTTAAATCATACATGATATATTTTTACACACCTGCATAATTTAAATTTAAACTCCACGGTGCTTACACGAAGCTTTGTAAGTTCTCTTTCGAACGATATTTTATTTACAAAAGAGTGTTTCACAGTAACCAGTTAATACTTGGATTTTTTTATTAGGCACTTACTTTAATTTGACATCGCACCGCCGATTCAAGTACTCCGATGATTACTGGTGACAGTGACCACTCAAGATCAATTGGCAGTAGGTCCTAATGTAAAGATAAACATCACTAACCGTTGCAGTCGCGAGGCTATCATGCTTTTTCGTTGCACGACATGACCCTAAATTGTGATAGGCTAGAATGTGAATGCCGTAAAAGAAAATTAAGAAATTCAACTGAGAATGGGAACTATACAAACTGAAGATCTTCAATTAAAATTAACCAACACAGAGAGCAGTTTTATGATTAACACCAGATCTTAAAATTCATCGAATCAAATAATCAATTAGGTCAGAACATTAGTTGTTATTATATTTGTTTGAATTCTAAATAACTTTATTTTCCTTTTTTATTGCCTAGATGGGCATACGAGCTCATCTGATGAGAAGTGGTCACAAGAACTCATAAATATGACAATGTAAGTGCCGTCACCTTTCTTGAGACATTGCTTGTGGCTTCGGTGTTCCCCTGACGTTGTTGACATCCCTAAACGACGGTGAGCATTTACCGTTAGGCGGGCATAGACTCGGCTATCTACAATATCAATATGTAAAATATATTACTGAATTACGCAAAAATAATCGAATGAATTTGGACGAAAATTCTTTTTTATTTATTTTTATTTTTTATTGCTTAGATGGGTGGACGAGCCACTAGTTACTGGAGCCCATAGACATCTACAACGTAAATGCGCCACCCACCTTGAGCTATAAGTTCTAAGGTCTTAAGTATAGTTACAACGGCTGCCCTACCCTTCAAACCGAAACGCATTACTGCTTCACGGCAGAAATAGGTAGGGTTTTGGTACCTACCCGCGCGGACTCACAAGAGGTCCTACCACCAGTAAACAGAAATTCGCACAGAAATAGATTAATACCCTGATTAACTGAGGTAATAATTATCTTGAAAAAAGTTATAATCATCAAAGATTCAAAGTTAAGGTATCCAAACAAAATATTATTAAAAATATTGCTTATAAAACGTTTGTAAAATAACAAAAGGCGCATCCTCTGGTTGCAGAAATGGCGTGAAATTATTTTCCTTGCCGTATGCAGATTAGACGAGGGCTGCCGTTGGGGTTCGGGGATTAGTTCCGGTTTACTTTTTATAGGATTCCGATGATAAATGTAACCATTGGATAGGTTAACGGGTGGTGCGTGAAATGTGTCCAAATAAGTTCTTAAGAAAAAAGTTTTTATGTTTATGACGCCACGGCTCTCGACAGCACTTTCTGAACAAGTAGGTAGTAATTAATTATCTTGAAGATTTTTGAAATATTTGAAGGAAATGCGCGTTAAGTTTTATTAATATCCATTTCTATTGGTTTCAATTACTACATTTTATATTAATATTAATTCAAAAGCTTAAAATGCCTTAATTCTTATAATCAAAGCCTCGACTAGAATTTGCCATACTTTTCTGTTCGTAGCTTGTTTTTGGCATAGAGGTCCAGCTGTTTTCTTAACCTCTTTTTTCCACCTTTTTGTCCCTTCTTTCTTGTTCCTTCCCTTCTTGGTATGTGCACTTCATAGTGATGAGCTTTTGACCATTTCTGTATCTCACTTTTGGTCATATGACCTATCTAGTTCCATTTAAGTTGGTTTACTGTATATGTAACATCAATAGTTTTGGTAATTTGTCTTAAACGAGTTAAATTGATTTTATGCTGTTGTTTAATATTTATCCTTGCCATGCACGTAAATATGCATAGACTAAAAATTACTCTTTTCCTTTTTTTTACGTATGGAGTTTTCATAGTTTCATTGAAAGACCAAAATGTCTTCCAAGAGTTGCTATTTATAGTTTTTATTTCTTTCTGCATTTGAACTTCGGGTGAACAATTTGGTCAAGCTTGTGTACTGATCAACGTCTTCTATATTGTTGTTATTTTTTGAAATATACGAGTTTGTGTGATTTTACATCAATTTCGTTTTCTCTGTGTTCATAGTGAGGCCTACAGTTTTGCTTTTTCTTTCTATGAAGGTTAGTATCTTTTGTAAGTCATGCGGATCCTCGCTAATATAAATTAGGTCGTCTGAGAATCTTAGATAATTTAGTTTTTCGCCATTTATAAAAATTTCAAACAAACTCCGTCGATTTTCCATGAACATCTGTTGCAACACTGCCGTGAACAACTTTGGTGATAAAGGACCCCTTTGTCTTACTTATTTCTTTATTCTACACGGTTCCCCTGCTCTCTCGATTTGTATCATTGCTGTGAAGCCTTCCTAAGTATATATTTTTTATATTCCTGATATACCTACTTTGGCTTAAACCTTGTAATTTTTGAGCATCCCATATTTGTCTGAGAGACTAATTTGACCCTGTAAAATATTTAGGTATGTTAATCATTCATTCATACTTTATATAACTCCAATATCCATCGCATTGCACAATGGCTATCCCAAGCTGCAAACCGAAAAACAAAAAGGCTCGCGGATCAAATAAGCTGCATGGTATTATGTACCCGTGCAAGCCTAGTACCTGGTCTATGTGCTTCGATAATCACCACAGCACAGATAGGCCGTGAGTTTGTCTCTCAAAAAACGATAGAAATCAATCATCATCTTTAGTATATTGACTTCTACTCTTAGACCTCTGTCGTTACCTTCCAACACATGGCACAAAAAGTAGTCCTGTGCTACCAAAATACATAAATGATCATAAGCACAAAAATTAAGACCATTCTAAAACACTAAGTAGTTTTATAAATTGTGAAAAAATTGGCAAACATCCCTAATACAGACGTTGCAACGAAACGAAATAGAACAACGGAACACATGTCGCCACCCTTCTATCAAACTCGCTAACTGTTTAGGAGTCAGACAAAAAACGAGGAAAGTCGCCGAGCAGACGGACGATTGCCGATCTCGGAAAATGATTTATAGATTGGATGTCATACGCAAAGCGCTTTTCATACTTCACGACTTCATACGGTGTCGCCACACCATCCACGCCGCGCTGTCTTCTTGGTGCAAAAACAAAAAGCTTACATTTAAATAAACCTCCTTTTTTTAGAGTAAATAGCGAGATACGAAAATGATAAATGAGTTCAGTTGTGAATAGCATTAGGGAAAAACTAATAATTGAGGACTCAGTATTTTATTTGAGCATCACCTCGTCTTTTGACATCGATGGAAAAAAAATACAAATTTAAATAGTGCATTTACCTAAGTACACGGCCAGCCTGGCGTAAAGTGGTTACTGGAGTTTTGTTCTTCTCGAACTTTTGAGAAAATGTTGCGTAATATTGAAGTTCTTATTAATTTCTTTATCCTACCTTAGACCATGGAATGTCTGAACGACCCCTTATAAAATAACTTCTGTGAAGGCTTCTAAAATATTTGTACAAAATCGAACAATAATCGCTCATATTGTCAGTTACAATACAATTTGTTTGGGAACTCGACGCGTGAGTGAAATAATAACAAATGATTCGCGCCCTAACACCGCCTGGCGTTGAAAGATCACGCCTATTGCTCTTTTGCTGTTGAAAAAAAAAACTGTTAAACATATATAGATAACTACAATAACAATAATATACCTTAAACGATACGGGTTTTATTTATTGTTATTGTATTGTATATTTAAATTTGTTTGAGCTGAACGCAAAACAAGAGTTTTTTTGTTCTGCGTTGTTGTTTTTGGCACGAAGTTCCTTAACGAGGCTTTGTCTCTTACTTCCATTCTCTGTCATCCAGTTGAGCATTATGTTTGGCTAAATATTTCATTTATTATTTTTTATTATTTCAAATATACCCCATTTTATATCAAATTTTAATAAATGAATAAATTTTGAATTTTTTATATAAGAGTAGTAGTAGTTTTGAGAACTTCATTCCTCCTGGGGATCCTGAGATCGTACACGTCTTTTTTACGGAGTTTGGACCTACGTGGGAAGACGCCCGTTGTACTACTCATGTCAAGCAATGGAACTATGCCAGTGGGCAAATCCCCGACAGGTACAATTTTTTCTAATGAATTTTGTGTTAAGAGATATTCACGAATATTTTCTACAATGGGAGAATAATATGGCGAAATAAAAGTGAAATACGCAAAAAATGGTTTCTAGTTGGAAGGGTGGGACAGCTATCACATCTACTTCAGTAGGAACCTTATGTACACTAGATGGGCTGTAAGCTCGTCCATCCGTCGAAACAATTGAACGTCTTCTCACGGCTGTTTCTTCTTTTGCTTTTTTGGGTAGGGGAATTAGTTTTTGCCATACTACTGTTACCAGATATGATAAGCCCTCAGTAAAATGATGGTTATTTACTGAGACTTGAGTAGACTTTTTTAAAAAACCAAAGAAGCCACGTCCAACTGCTTTGTTGCAATTTTCCATTATTGTGAACCTTCACAGATGCTAAAAAATTTATAAGGCACCGTTATTAGACGTATTATTACAGTTTAAGCCCGAAGAAATTGTAAATTATCAAAATAAAACAACTCACAAAAGTTGGTGTTCTTGCCAAAAAGTCCTTTGTCTCACTTCATATTCAAATTATTTTCCATAATTAGTATTGATTTATAGTAAAATGACTAGTAATGTCGGTAATAAGCGCGTTCCATTTACGGACAACAGACAAGGAATCGTGTATTTTTCACATAACATTTCGCTGTACGGACGTTATTTCCTTTGCCTATCCAATTGACGAATTATTTGTCATCTCAATACCCACTGTCAATTTCTGATTTCTAGTTTCTAGTTTCTTCAGTCAACCAGTTTGTCGGGGATATGGCAGATTCCTTTTAAAAAAATATAAAAATAATATAACAGTTTAATTTGAAGCTACCGTCTTATTTTTAAATTCCATTGCAACAATGAAATGGACAGTGCATATCGAAGGGGGACCGATGAGAGTCAATCATGCAGCTGTATGTATCGGTGATAAAATCTATTCGTTTGGTGGATATTGTTCCACTGAAGAATATAAAGATTGGGAGCCAATACCAGTCCATATATTGAACACAGCAACTCTAAGATGGACCTCTGTAAACTATAAGAGATCAGACGTAGTCCCATTTCAAAGATATGGGCACACAGCAGTTGCCTATGGTCACAAGGTATGTAGGTATAGTCTTTCTTTTAGGCTATTGTAGTCGATGTTATTTGTATTCTGTCATTTCATTGTTCCAAACAGTTTAAATTCTTAAAAATATCTCGCCTATTTGATTCTTCTATACCTACTATTCTGTGTTCAGGTATATATGTGGGGCGGCAGGAATAATGCGGTAGCATGTGATACTCTCTCGTGCTTCGACACAAAGAAACTCGAATGGAGCACCCCGCAAGTGACAGGAATGGTGCCATATGCTAAAGATGGACATTCAGCATGTGTCATTAAAAATAAAATGTATATTTTTGGAGGATTTGAGTATCTCACTGATCAATATTCTCAAGAAGTCCATTGTCTTGATTTGGACACACTTCAGTGGACCTTTATAGATGCACAAGGCACTCCGCCTTCCCACAGAGATTTCCACACTGCAGTAGCTGTCGGAGACCGCATGTTTGTCTTTGGTGGTAGAGGTGATTTAAATAGTCCATATAATTCTCAGGAAGAAATTTATTGCCCGCAAGTATATTATCTAGATACAATAACAGAGACATGGGTAGCCTGTAATCCTACTGGGATTTGGCCAGAAGGGAGACGCAGTCATTCTGCATGTAAGTTATAATATTTATCTGGTTATCAAAGAATCTCACAAATATATTACATATAACTGTGACCCCTTTTAAGTGGGTAGCAAATCAAAAGTTAAGCTTAGCTTAGCATTATATTTAGTTATTTTTCATACATGTCTACAGACTGCAAATTATATAGACTAGCTGATGTAAACAATGTGCACTCAAGTTGTCTATCTTATTTTGCTGCTACTTAAGCTAATCTTAGTGTCTTGTTTTACTTTGTGCACTTGTTTCTCATCTTTTAGTGTCGTAACTACTCAATCAATACTTACTTCGCCTTGACATAATTGTGGATGTAGGTACATGCAAAAAATTTCTACTTTATCTACTATTCATTTAGCTGAGCTTTGCTGCAACTTATCTGTAACCAGCTTTAGGATAGAATTTTAAATAATGAATCTTAAAATTGCAGTATTGTAATATTTTAAATAGCTTATTTTTTAATGTAAATTAAATCATATGCTATTTTGTTGACAAAATGAATATAATTAGTATATTAATTTATATTAATATAATATTTAATAATTAAATATATTAATATAATATTTAATAATTAAATATATTAATTTATAATTAATATTTATTAAAGTTACTTTCTTGTACTTTAGGGCTCTACAATGATTTCATGTACATTTTTGGTGGATTCAATGGAAATACCAGGACACACTTTAATGATCTTTATAGATACTCAATTAAAGGAAATTTTTGGCAGTTTATAAATGTGACTGGTTCAGTTCCTTGCAAGAGACGACGCCAAGCATGTCTTATTTATGAAGATAAGGTATACCTGTTTGGAGGCACAAGGTAAAATATTTTTTTCCATAACTGTCCTCAGACACACTTAATTACTATCAAATGTAGGAGACCATAGATTGTGCTGAACTGAATTTATCTTTTACTTTGAGAGGGTACAATTTCAACAAAAGATTTCAGTGTAAAAATAAATAAAATTTTCATTAAAACAAAAAAATACAGTACATCTTTCGTGCATTGCAATTTTAAAATATTTAAGGCTTGAAAAAGTTAAAGTATGAATTGATTGTATGAGAGTTATTCCACCATACAAAACATAGACACATCCCAGTTAGACAGCAGAAACAAGCTGGATGGTGATGTCTATTTGTGCAGTTTCACAATGCATAAATAATTACGCAATGAATAAAATTTTCACGATTTTGTGCTTAGATCACTAGATAGCTAGATTTCACATGACATCTTAATAGTTTAAGCCAAAAATTTCTTATTTGACTTATTGCTTAAAAATACGTTATGCCCTATGTACAAATACATATTTGTTTTTCAGCCCTTGCCCACATGTTAACAACAGGCCCATTGATGAAAATGATGCAAACCCCGAGAGATTAATTGATAACAGTGATTTACATATACTAGATTATACCCCAAGTCTGAAGACTCTATGCATCATAGCTGTACTTGCTAACAACCTTGACCAAAGCACACTTCCGCGTGATATAATGTAAGTTACATAAATGTATAATTAGTACACAACTTACAAATTTAAATTTGAAATCAGTATGTAAATTTCTCGAATTGTCCAATAGTGTTACAATACTACACACATAACAGTTATTTAACTTTACAATTATTCTTTCAGTATGGATATTTGTGCCATGACATTACCAAACCGCATCAGCAGGCCCATTAATCAAGCAGGCTGAAATAATCTATTAACTGAACACTTCTATTGATAACTTTGGAGCTTATAAATATATAATATGTAGTACCTATCAATATCAATATGGAAATGTTTAGTTGTTTTGATTTTCCTTTTTTTAGACTGATAGTTTAATATAGTTATTGTTTAAAGCTTGAAGCTACGTTATTTATGTATCTCAAGCAGTCTAGAGGCTGCTATTAGTCATTATGAATATATTAATAGTTTACATATAGTAAAATTTTGTATTTTCGATGTCCCAAACAAATAAATATTTGTTGTTCGAAATGTGTTTTATCTATCTGCAGATTTGAATGGTCTACAATAGTCTAAATAACACTTATGTACTTTTTTTTGCATAAATACAAATTCAAAAATCGATGACTATTTCAGTTCCTTCATATAAATATGTTTCTACGAATATTGTTTATTTTTATTCTTAAGACGGGTTGACGAGTTCACGGCTCACCTGTTGTTAAGTGGATGCCAGATCCCATCAACAACGTATGTATAGGCTGCCACCCACCTTGAGGCATAAATTCTAAGTCTATTTTTCAGTACAACGGCTGTCCCACCTTTCAAACCGTAACTACAATACAATACTGCTTCACGGCAGAAATAAGCAGGTTGTTGGAACCTATCCATGTGGGCTCACAAGACACGCTACTAATAGTAATTATGTAAATTAAACTTTTTGGTGGTTTTATTTTTGTGACATGATCTTATTCCTTCACTGGAAGTCAATCGTGAACATCTGTTCAGTATATGTTATATCAGAAAAATTATTACCCGCCTGCGAAATTCGAACGCCGGCACAGTCGCATCGCTAGATACGAAAGCACCGGGCGTCTTATCCTGCAGGCTACGACGACTTCAGAAGGAAAGAAAGGTAAGGTTAATGAAAAATAAAATAATTATATCTTATATATTTTATTATAACATTCACATTAACACAATCATTCGTCTTCTTTAACGACATGTCTCTTTTTCTCAGAAACAACCGGTATTGTCCCCTTTTTACTGTGGGCGCGTCTATTTGCTTCTTTTCTCTTCGTTTTCTCTCGGATAGTTCGTAGTTCTTTCTGCGCATTCAGTATGTGTTTAGGGACGTGTCTGTGACGAGCGATACGCTTCACTTGTGGATGCGTCGCAAACTTCTCCTTTAGGGCTTCCGCATAATTAAGAGCTTGTCTTTCACGAGGCTTAAGCTGTAATTAAAAGTTTTTTTTTTTAACTTTGTTCAGTGATGGCATTCACTACAAAGATGAAACTTGGTAGTTATTTTTGCCACTCTAGTGAAAGTTCCTGTCATAATAACTTTCAACGTACGATAGGTGGTGTGCGACTAGTTTCGAATAATCGGTGTTTTTCATACAATTAGCGATAATCAGTGGAACATGACTGGGTATATTACTAGGGGACTAGTAATATTATACAACTTGGATGGATATGAACCATTGTTCACACCATAACCATAATAGGACACAACCTGAACATATCATATTACTTATATAATTACTTACATTGGAAGTCGTCGTGGATAAGACGTCCGGTGCATTCGTATATAGCGATGCACCGGTGTTCGAATCCCGCTGGCGGGTACCAATTTTTCTAATGAAATACGTACTTTACAAATGTTTACGATTGACTTCCACGGTGAAGGAATAACATCGTGTAATAAAAATCAAACCCGCAAAATTATAATTTACGTAATTACTGGCGGTAGGACCACTTGTGCGGTAAGACCACCGCACGGGTAGGTACCACCGCCCTGCTTATTTCTGCCGTGAAGCAGTAATGCGTTTCGGTTTGAAGGGTGGGGTAGCCGTTGTGACTATACTGAGACCTTAGAACTTATATCTCAAGGTGTGTGGCGCATTTACGTAGTAGATGTCTATGGGCTCCAGTAACCACTTAAAACACCAGGTGGGCTGTGAGCTCGTCCACACGTCTAAGCAATAAAAAAAAAAAAACACATTTTTAAGTGTGCATTTTTTACAGAAAGACAATTTTGCTATACGATGTTCAATCTTAAAAGTAACTTAAAATAAGATCTAGAATCACCTGTGCTCGTTTTCGGTAATTTTTCATATAAATATAAAAAATTCACATACCACACCAAGTTTTTCAGATGCCCTGGCCTTCCACATTCTTATATTCATTTCGTCAGATCCACTCATTACATATTTATTATCTAGAGACCATTTCACGCAGGTTAATCGCTGCATTCTTTTTGTATGGTAAACATCTCGGGAGTGTCCTTTGTCATTCTGGAATATTCTGATAGTTTTGTCATAGCTACCCGCGACAAATTCACGGCCAGTTGGCGCATAGTCAACATCAATCACGGCAGACGTATGATCCATGTGAATGGCCACTGGTTCTTTTAGTCTCCTTACATCAAATGTGTACAAACTGAAAAAAGGTATATGAGAGTGAGCTTTTTTACCATGTTTTAGTTGTATAAAAAATTAAGCACTGTAGGCAAATAGAGGCAACTCATTATGGAACCATAGTCAAAACAGAAGCTGCCATGGTAATATCCATAAAAAGGCTATTACCACACTAATACATTGGAATTTCCTAGATGTTTAATATCTTTCCTACCGAATGCTCTATTTTATTATAAATAATAGTGAATTAATTAATTATATTCTGTAAGTAACATGCATAATGTAAAATTATATGTACACATTATTATCTACTGGTGTGACCATGAAAAACATCTACAGGTTGCTGGTGTCAAGCTAATTATTCTAGTGTACCCACATTTGCATATATCAGTACACAACAGTTAAAACTTGTATTGTCCCCAATCTTGTTAGCCCTGGACAGTTCAAATCTAGTAATGGGATAATGCTTTGATGGCATCTTTAAAGACTTCTAAAAACCACTTTTGTCACTCTGAGAATTGAGCAGTCAGGATGTTAAGTATTAGATAATCAGTAAATTTTAATTATCATCGATTAACAGAGATTTTGATTAATATTAAACCAGATACCACAATTATTTATGACTATAACTTCTACAGAGAAGCCAAAATACACATAACTCAGGAATTTTAACCAGTTTGGATCAGCTAGGTAAATTAAGTGTTCCAATCTGTTAAATGTTCTATAGATATAGTTCTTTATATTATGTTCAGAACATTTATCAGTTTTTTTCTGTATACTCTATATATAGGGTTTACAGAAAAAAAACACAATATTGCCATTTACACAAACATTACATACTCTTGGTCATATATACTTTAGTTTGAATTCAATGGCTATGAATGCTTAACTGGTTCATACATATTGATTGCAAATTAATAAAAATATAAACTAACTTATAGTCTTCATTAGCTACTGTAAAGATGAATGCTTCCATAGGGTTCCAGGAGAGTGCATTGGATCGTAACTCCAATACAACTTTCCTCAGAGGACCAGATTCACGGCAGTCATATAAAATAATACTTCTGTCACTAGCACAAGAAGCCAACAAATTGTATTCAACCTGAAATAATACAGAATTTCCTTTTTGACATCATATCAAGCCCTGTGTTCCCCGTGACCCTGTCTTCCCAACCTTGAATTATTCCTATTATTGTCTGACTTGTAATGCATTCACTGCAATAATATTCTTACCAGATATATATGAGTCGACTATTATCAAAGCCGGCAATGTGACTTTTGTACAATTATTGGTAAATCAGAAAAACGAATTATTGACTTTGTATTCCATTGGCAGTCACAAAACTCTTCTGAACGACATCTTAGATAAATAACAGGTTAAGTATTAACCTTTATTTAATGCAGTTTTTGAACCGTATTCTTTGAAGGAGACGATTATATTCAAATCAATCTGTATTGACATATCAATAAATTTTTTTTGTCTAAATGCACAGATTGCCACCTTTGATAATAGACGACTCATATACAAGGCTTCCTCTATTCATTTCTATAAATCTATTTTAAGTACTGTCAAACCAGAAAGTATAGCTTTGTTGAAAAACAAGGTTATTATGGCATAGGCTGGTTCAAAAATTATCAACATACATAGCTATTGTTGAATATTTCTATTAATAACCATAATAGAAGGGTAAGATATATTGTAATTGAGAGTTCAATCATATCAATATCTCAAGGTGGGACCACTAACTGCTACATACTAACACTTTAATTCTAGTGCATATGCAGCACTAATTAATGCTATATGTAATTTTTTTATTGCATAGATGTGTGGACGATGTGTGTGTTGCTCACAGCCCATCTGGTGTTAAATGATTCGCAGAGCCCATAGACATCTACAACATAAATGCTGCTACCCACCTTGAGATATGAGTTTTAAGCTCTCAGTATAGTTACAACGGCTGCCCCACCCTTCAAACTGAAACCCATTACTGCTTTACGGCGAAATAGGCAGGGTGGTGGTACTTTCCCATGCGGAATCACAAGAGGTCCTACCACCAGTAAAATAAAAATAATTAAAATTTTAAATAAAAAAAATAACAATAAAAAGGTTTTTCTTAAAATGTTCATTGACAAACATACCTGGTTAAATGAAACATGATGTAAGCTATCTACGCCCCATTTAAAAACTTTAATTGGTTCATTTCTTGTGTTTTCCCACAGTTGACACTGTTCACCACAGGTAGCAAAGATTGGTTTGTTTCTATGATGTGTTATACCAGACACCACTGACATGCTTAGCAATGTATTAGTGGGTTCCTCATCTTCCTCTGTAACAGCTTCAGCTTTCCACGTTTTAATAGTTTTGTCATCACCAACACTCATAAAATGCTTTCCATCTGGATTGTAACATAAAGCTCTCACCCATCCCTCATGAGCAACAAAATTTCTTGTACACTTCCGTACAGTTAAGTCCCAAATACGTACTTCACCATCAAATGCTCCACTAGCTAGAACTGCTAGTTGGCTAGGATGCTTGGCCATAGTAGAAACCCCATCTCTGTGACCATCTAAACAACCAATAAAGGGCTTGGCAAATACCCTCTCTAATTTTACAGCATTCAAAGCACGCACATATTCACGGGGTGCTTCTAGTGGATGCAAGCTCGGGTCATAGTTGCGAGGTACTGGAAATTAGCCTTCAACTATTAAAATATACAGATTATAATAAATTATCAATGAGACACTTTTGAGCAGTTAACTTACTTTTCTGAATATCTCGTTTCGTAGCGCGCAAATAATCTTCTGGGTTACGACTTATAACTTTAATTTTTACGTTAGACATCGTAATTTGAACTATTGAACAGACATATGAATAAAGAAAAATTAAAAATAAATTATATTATCAGCAGATTACAAATAAGACTTTGTATGTAATAATATGATATTGATTTTAACATTAAAATCAGTAATAACACTTGATATTAAATTCTAAAACACGCAAGTAGTTTAAACCGTACCGTACCTAGTTACTCTTTCATAGAAAATATAGAAACGCCATGTGTGTTGTGACTTTGACTGTTGTTTATTATAGATGTCAATGTCAGCGTTTTTTGATACAGGCGAAAGGAACATAGTACATACCTATATTACGTTTTTTTCTAATAGTCAATAAAATAAGCACTTAATGTACAAACTACAAACAGAAATTTCTTGGCGGGAATGCGAGGAGTGGAGTTGTGTGATTTGTTTTATTATGTCCATTTAGTGTTTCTTCAGGTTTAAATGTGTAGTAGCGGTGGTATATTAACTGTTTAATATCTGTGAAAGTGCACAAATATGGGAAAGTGAAACAAAGCCGCTGGACGTAACATCTCGGGATCCTCCAAAAAGTTCACTAAAAAAATCTCAGTAAATGACCACCATTTTACTGGGATTATATTTCATCCGATATCATCTCAACTCATTTCACCCTAGGAATAATATTTTTTTAATTCTTTTCGTAGATTTCATTCCATATTATCATTTACCATAAAATTATGAATGTAAATTAAAGTAAGATATGACCTAAAGGTCTTAGTTACCAGGTCATGAAATCCTTTAAAAAAAACACATTTAAGACAAACAGTACCGTATGTAAAAATGTAAACATTGTTGAGCTTTTTAACTCGTAAAACTATATACGCTTTCCTATTGATTTGTCGATTAAAAAGTGTTACATTTTAAAATATGAATTTTTAAGTACGGGAACGGAAAATTAAAACAAATTGGAAGATTATGAAAATATAAAACAAAACGGCACACCCGGTTAGTACATACGAAAATCTTTATAATTAGGTATTTTTGTTCCATCCAATGATGTGCTCTGCCTTTTAAAAGTATACGCAAAACCTTAATAAATTGCCTAAATATACTATGACCCAAAACTACTCTTACAGTGTCAAGCAATATATTAAAAAATTCAAGTCAAACCACAATACCGGAATCATTGTGTAATGAAATAATTTTCGGTATCTTCCAAATATAAACAATAGTAAATTATCATACATTACATGGTCTGAAAGGTTGTTAGAACTGAAAGAACCCTTTTTTGTTAGTGCTTTATTATATTCGATGTGTATCTAATACTTAAATTTAATTATATCTACATTTTTTCCCATAATTCATTCATATTACAAAGTAGAAATGTGGTGACAGAATGGAACTCTCAGAGCGTTCTTTTCTCAGAGGTGTGGTATCTGGGATATAGGGGGTTCCATCTAGGATTTCACACATCCTGCTGATATCTGTGCCTTGGGTCTAGTGGGGAGAATTGATAAATTTGTGTTGAAAAACTTCCTGACATCTGAATCAAGAGCTTGCCTTTTTTATTAGATGTCTTGATACAGAAACAATATATTTTATGAAAATTTATAAATGCATAATGTAATAAAAAAGCATGGTGTGCTTTTCAGGATATTATCGACGCTTGAAAGGCAATCATAACTAAGTGACAATAACTGCTTTGTACATAAATAACCATATTCGATGCGCAAAAAATATATATTTCTAGGTCTATTAAAATCATTTCAATCCTACAGCTACTAGCTAGATTCTACTACAGCTAGATTCGTTAAAATAATTTTCTTTTTCAGGTATTTCAGCTTTAAATTAGTCTACTGTAAAGTTCACGCATTGTCACTTAGTCACGTTTGCCTTTCAAGCGTCATTATCAAAATAACCCTTCTACTCATATGTGTTCATAAAATATTTATAACTATTGATACCATGCACCCCATGCTTTTTTTTTACAATAATATAATTTTTTCTTACACTATTTTTAATGCAAATTTATTTTCTATTTTTTAATTGGATTTTCTATAAAAGCAATTTTTTTAGTTTTTTTTAACTATTATTTATTTTTCATTTTTAGTTAAATTTCAATCTTTTAATATTTTTTTTCAATTTTTCTAAAATTTCATCTGAATCAGTCAGTAACTTATGCGAGAAATAGGTGATCTGCATGCGTCGTAGTTTTCCTTCATGATCTTAATGCAGTTTTTCCGGGTCTTAAAACGTTTGTTTTCAAAAAATCGCTAATCCTGATGATCCTAGTAAGGATAACAGAACAAACTACTTAAAATATTGAATTGTCAATGGTCCTTAATAACTATGCCATGTCGAGTTAGTCTGACGTTTTGAAGGGGAATCATGTTCAAAGATTCCATTACATAGTAACATACGTATGAAGCTAATAAAAGCGTATTAAAATACGAATACGAGCTTAAACCGTAAAACTAATTTTAATCACAATATAAGTACTTATATTAGATTTAGGATATATTTACAGACACAGTGTTATGCAACGGGCACGATTTTTACATTTAATGAGTTCCCGTAATTTCGGCGTCGTTGCAACCAATTGTAAAAAATATTAATCGACGTTGTTATGCAAATTATGTAAGTTCTCGTTCTTTATCCACTTAAAAGTATATTTATTTGTACTAGTCTCTTGGTGTAATTCCTTTCGAAATGCGTATGTTTTATGTTAAATCTCCTTTATTGGGCCTGTTGCCAAATCTAATCACGAGATCCTCGTGTCTAAAGGGAGCGCCAGGTATGTGGTATTGTCATCGCCACCCACTAACTCTAATTTATGTGTATTATCTATGCACTAACTGACTCCTCTACATTCCTACTCAAACCTCCTGATATTGTTTTCCTACCTATTCTAGTAACCTTGGGGGGTTATTCTAGATTCACCGAGCTAGTAGCTCACGAGGCTCAAACCCAGTGTTGCTAACACTGGCCCTGCCAAGCGCAGTGCTTCGCAGAATCTACCACCGGAACGGAAACACGACCCACTGGGAAGATTCGGCGAGAAACTCAGTGGGCTGTGTCTACATGTTAAATTACTCGTCGAGCCCTTCGTCGCAAGCGACAGGTTCGGCGAGGACGGCGACCGGTGCTTCAGGTACCTCAAAAGCTCCGTTAATGGATCGGGAGGATCGTGACGTGCTTAGGGCGACGTCGACTATTTACCATTCGGTCCACAGGATGAACGTTCCATGCCCGTGTAACACAGTACCCCAAAGAGATAGGAGGGACTTATCCCATCCTTTTTTTCTTCGGGCCGGGGGCCGAACCTTCTACGAGGTCCCCACGCCTAGGGGGCGCGCGGGGTATGTGGGACTTGACAATCTGCAAGGTGTTGGGAGCAGACCGCGGGCCCAAGGAATGGGGCTCTACCGCACTAAACGACTCCCCTGCACTCTTACACCCGACGTGCGATCTCCGTCCGGGGTTAGAACCCGGTCAGAGTTGAGGGGTTCCCGCGGTCAATACTACAACCAGACACGCGGCGCCACCCCGAGGACGCCCGACCGACGGGTCGTCGAGGCGATAGTCGACGAGCAACGACGTCGGTCTCCGCTGTACGGCAGCCCCACCAGGCCGCCTGGGCGATGACTTATACCCCATCCTAACCTAACCCCGCCCTATGACTTAATGAAACTAGTATTCCCGCAATGATCGAAATTCGACGTTCGGTTGAATTATGTATGTCGCTCATAATATAGATTGGGTTTAGATATAATATTTTATCCATTGCGTTATAATTTTTTATAGTTTTTATTAAACCGGTATTTCCTGTGTCATGTTATTTACCGTATTAAAAAAATCATATTTTATAATCCAGGCTACAAATGATTTTATTTCGATATTTCCAGAAGCTTTTGCGTGAAAGAGTAACGAAACAACCGTCCATCCACATAAAATTTTACATTTATAATAGTTGTAGATTTGATTTTATCTAAGCACGTACTTTTTAGCGTAAATTAAAAACACCTATAAATTTAATAAGATAGTTCTATATTTGTAACAATAATTCTTACTTCCGCAAATTATATTCATCGCCATACGTGATCTTTTGACTTACAGCTCCTTGGCTACCAAAAGAAGTCTCGGTTTCATAGGAATAATAACTGACAAAAAACATTTTAAATTATCTTACCTTCAATAAATTATTCCTTCGTTTTTTAGTTTTTATAATGGAACAAATAGTAAAATGTAAAGTGTATTTATTACTGATAAAGTTTATAAACAAACAAAATTATAAAACGTAATATAATGTCACGTACGTACCTACTCGTTCAAAAAACGAATTACAAAACTGGTACTGGTACTGGTGGTAGGACCCCTTGTGGGTCCGCGCGGGTAGGTACCACCACCCTGCTTATTTCTGCCGTGAAGCAGTGATGCGTTTCGGTTTGAAGGGTAGGGTAGCCGTTGTAACTATACTTGAGACCTTAGAACTTGTATCTAAGGATGGGTGGCGCATTTACGTTGTGAATGTCTATGGGCTCCTGTAACCACTTAACACCAGGTGGGCTGTGAGCTCGTCCACCCATCTAAGCAATAAAAAAAACCTACTCCTTTTTAAAAATACATTGTAAAAGAATAAATCATATATACTATATAAATATTAGAGAATGCATACATATATGTAGCTTAAAACCTAAAGAAAAGTCGCTTTAATAGCAAACTAACTATAAATTAAAAGGATTTTTTAAATTCCGGTCAAGATATTAAGCCAAAGTGATTAAATTATTGTTTTGTCATCAGTCATACGTTTGAAAAGTTTTTAAAAGAATCGACCGTCTTGAAGTTGGTGAAGATTACATTAAATGATTCCAAATAGTATAAAAAAACTCAACAAAAGGAGGAAGAACTATAATTATATATTACTTTGTTATATATGCTATAATAAATGCGCCACTATCACCTGATTCGTGAATTTAGGTACTGTCGAGTAGACCAGATAGTCAAGGCAACTTTATTCAGGGAAAATGCAACGTGTTTCCTTGATTTAGTATAAAGATACTGTGGGACACATTAAGTCTTATTTATAAATAAACTAAGACAAAATGGTGAATAATTATTCAGTATACCTTGTCTAGTTCCTATTAACGAGCTTTAGTGTTATCAATTTTTTTTTTTCAAAGTGTCTTTGCTATAGATCTCAAAACGAAATCCGCGTTACATCCTATATTTATCTCCCAAGGAATACTGGGCTATTTTTAAAAACAACTCAATTAGCAGTCTTGAATCTAATTAAACTTCACACATACAACGGAGCCTAAGATTTTCTGTCTACAAATATCGAAAACACACATGAGACGAGTATGACGCGAGACGTATGACCCAGACCTCGAATACCAAATATCTTTAACAAATATATTTGTTTCGATCGGAATCTAGACTTGTGGGCGCAGCAGGTTATTAACCATTAGACCTACAAAACGATCTAATGTTATTTCTTAAACATGGCAGCTATGATAATCAAGTACAGAATAACTATTTGCTGACAAAAATCTTAGGTGCAGTGGTACAAAAAAGGACTTTGAAATAAGTTTCAGTTTCTGTATGTACATATATTAAATAACCTTTTAATTCGACCAGAAGGAAACTCCTACATGATCTTAAAAAAAATCGTTTTGTTAGCGACTGATAAATGCAATCTAATTGTATTTCGTCGGAAATGTTTTAAGCTGTTTTGCAACAACTGGTAGGTACTAGATTGTTCTACGATCGATAAAACACATCAACGAATAACGTGGCACGTTCGCATGGGAGTCGGGACGTCACGTCATCTCGTCAGAAGCTTCATATGATAAGGTCAACCCGTTACTAGCTTCCGAACGAATGTTTTATTCGTTGAACCGACCGACGTCGGGCTGCGTGGACGCACGTATCTTTGCCAGATTGTCGCTTTATATAACGTTTATAATTGTGAATTGATTGCAATTCAATTAATGGTGAATGAGGTTAAACAGCAATACGTTTTTGTCATAATCCTTAATGATGTACGTGTTTGTCTGTAAAACAATTTGCTGATCTGCAAGTTCTAGAGTAAGTAGAAGTAACATTTAGCTTATATTCCTTACTAAATAATCAGTCATAGTAAGCATAACTATTCTAAACCACATTAATTCAGTCCGTCTAACTGTACATGAGTATTTTTTTATTGTCTGTTTAATTTAGTAATTTTTATTACATTTATTTACATAAATAGAAAGATCGATGAATCTGGAAAAATCTAGTAAGTACGAACATAAAACAATTCAGCACAACACCCATGTCAAATGTTATCTAATTAGTTACAATTTAGAAACTTTGTAATATAAATAAAGTGTGAATTGAGATAGTAGTTATCATCTATGATTTCGCATGAGTTTATTAAATAAACGAAACGAGGCGAGGCTTCGCGACATTTTAATCGAATCACAGTAAGACAACTTATTTCTAGATAGCACTCGCACTCTCCGAATTTGATGACATGTGAACTCGTCGAACAACGAGTACAAATTATTTAACCCTTCCGGATGGTGTTCTATTTTTCCCTTTTACAATCGTTATCAATTGGCACTCAACATTCGTGTTGGGTTGAATTAATTTTCTATTTCATTTAGTTTCATATTCAGTTCAAAATAGTTACACTCTAACAATTGGCTTATCTATTTCTAAAATGCTGACTAGAATGCGATCTTACCACATTATTTAATGGATATTCATGCCAGATTTATAGCACATGTAAGTTTTTAACCGCGTTTATCAATCAATTTCATAACACACATAATATATTGTTATTTGTACCGACTATTATATTTATCGCCCAAATTTGCTTCTTATAATATTGCCATTATAAAGTACAGAATACAAAGATTAGTTGTATAGAAATCGAAGCTAACAAAAATATATTTTTTTAATCGCCAATGTCTAAATGTTTTAGATGCACACTATACTTTGTACGTGTACAATTTCTACATAAATATTTTTTTTTTATTGCTTAGATGGGTGGACGAGCTCACAGCCCACCTGGTGTTAAGTGGTTACTGGAGCCCATAGACATCTACAACGTAAATGCGCCACCCACCTCGAGATATAAGTTCTAAGATCTCAGTATAGTTACAACGGCTGCCCCACCCTTCGAACCGAAACGCATTACTGCTTTACGGCGGAAATAGGCGGGGTGGTGGTACCTACCCGTGCAGACTCCCAAGAGGTCCTACCACCAGTGAAAAATATGTGAGTCAAATCTTTCGAAGATCTTCTAAGGTTCTTCTATTAGACCATTTCAAGTTTCTGCTGTTTATACACACTGTTTACTAAAACAATACACAATTGGTAGATTGTTATTCGCCATAATCCTAACTTCCGTAAATTAAAAACGTTTTCGGAACCAGTGCTATTTATTATAGCCAACGAATACATATATACTTGAGATATTAAAAATACCGTAAGCAGTCGTTGCCCTGTAGACGGGTCTTCATTTTCGGATCCAAAAATAAACAATATAAACTCAAAAATTTAACATCGTAAAAATATCTACCCAAAATAATTTTAGGTATGTTTAAAAATTAACTTTTTTTTTAACTTCATTTGTGTCACTTCGTGGTCTAATACTGCTGATTTAAAAAAAATATGTATTGGGCAGTGTGTTTAGGCATTCAAGTTAGATTTTAAGGACGGCTTAAAACTAGATTTTTTACAATAAGCACTGCTTAAAAATTTAATTATGTATAACATAACTCTTACATGGTTATTATAATTTATAATAATAGGTTTATTAATAATTCAAACTTTGTCATATTACTTCAATCAATCAATTCTCCTATTTTTAAGTTGTTGATGTTTAAATTAGTTGCGATAGAAATTTATTTGAAAATATTAGCCTATCGAGGAAAATTAATGGGATACACTTTACATAATTATACAGCTCAGCATAATATTGACATTAACACGTATTATTAAAAAGTGTATATATAATAAATATTGTTAAAACAACATTGAAAAAANCGACGACCGCCAGTCCGGCGTCCCGAGGGGGAGGGTGATGGGAGAGATGTGCTCCGCACTAAACGCTTCACTTTCCCCCCTTTGCCTTTTCATGAGTTTTGTCTCATGCGAGGTTTGGACGTTGGTTGTTGAGAGACAGGAGGTTTTAGTCGGTTCGACTCCGACATGCCCCGCCCTTCATCCCCAGGGAAGGGCGGAAGTCCGGCGATTTCCTCCTGACAAAAAAAAAATAGATTATTCAACGAATAGGTTTTTTTTTCTACCAATTCTAGTGACCTCGAGGGGTCATACTAAGTTAGATTCACCGAACTACAGGTGAGCTCACAGGGTTCTAACCTGAAGACGTTGCTAACACTATCCACAGCAATAGCAGTGCTTGGCAGAATCTACTATCGGATCGGAACGTAATTTATTGAGAAGATCCGGCGAGAAACTCAGTGGTGTAATATGTGTATATTATGAATATATATATGTACTATCAATGTGGTTAATAGTGCACGTAAAATAACGATAAATATACCTAATAGCGGACTTAAAATAATTATTAATATAATTAATGTTACATCTAAAATAACGTTTAATAATTTTATTATAATAGTAAACTTAAAACAACGTTTAAAATATTTAACACGTACACGTAAAACATTTCTTTGTTTACAGATCGTTTTCATATTTATTTCTGCAAAAATGGAAACAGTAAGAGCGATAGCTTTTTTGCTTCTGTTTTTCTTTACTTGGGCCAAAGCAGAGCTATTCACAGCCATAACGGATGTTGAACCGCTACTGGAAACCCACAAGAGGATCATAGACGATTTAGATGATTACCTGCAAAAAGAAGAGAGGAGACTTTTCACTTTGAAGAAGTAAGCCTTAAGTGTTGCATTTACTTGTAATGTAAATTTGTAGGGCTCATTAGGCGTATAGTTTCACATTCATTATCAAGTTCTAATAATATCAGTTGTGTAGTACCTACAACGACTTCACGCCTAAAATAAGCAAGGTGGTGGTACCTACTAGTGCGGGCTTAACGAACCTAAAGGTCCTAAAAAGAGCTTAAAGCCTCCTAATATTGAACGGTTGAAATTAGAAAAGTAATATCTTATCATTTCAGTCTTAGATGTCGACGTAATCAAATTAAAAGGGTTTTCAATTTAAAATCTTGACATTTAGTTTTTCTAGTCAATGTCAAGTCTCATCTACTACCAAAAGTATACGTTATTATCAGTGTCAATAAATTTGTTGGCAGTTGTCAGCTAACCGTAAGCACTTTTGAACACACTTCATACTGCGAACTTGTACTATTGTTATCGAAGCTATTGACGGAATAAAGAACGCAACAACATATTAATATGTACAAGCGTTCTTCGAACCTGGAATTCATACTCAGTGACGTCANCAAGTCTCATCTACTACCAAAAGTATACGTTATTATCAGTGTCAATAAATTTGTTGGCAGTTGTCAGCTAACCGTAAGCACTTTTGAACACACTTCATACTGCGAACTTGTACTATTGTTATCGAAGCTATTGACGGAATAAAGAACGCAACAACATATTAATATGTACAAGCGTTCTTCGAACCTGGAATTCATACTCAGTGACGTCATGATTTAGTAATTTAGCCAATTAGATGGATAAAATTCGTTTTGTTTTTTACTGTAGCTTTTTTTTATTGCTTAGAAGGGTGGATGGTTCACAGCCCACGTGGTTTTAAGTAGTTACTGGAGCCCATAGACATCTACAACGTAAATGCGCCACACATCTTGAGATAAGTTCTAAGGTCTCAAGTATAGTTACAACGGCTGCCCTACCCTTCAAACCGAAACGCATTAATCCTTCACGGCAGAATTAAGCGGGGTGTTGGTACCTACCCGCGCGGACTCACAAGGGGTTCTACCACCTTATTAATTACCACCTGCTTGAACTAATTCCACCTTATTTGTTTTACAGACACTTGAATTTATATAAAAGGGAACACGAAAGGGCTATGGATGACATCCCTAACTACCTCGGCAACCCGATCAATGCTTTCACGTTGATAAAAAGATTAACGGCCGACCTTGATTTTATAGAGGATAGCATTAAAATTGGAACAGGTTTGTTAAGGATTGAAGTCAAATAAACGCTAATCAAAAACAAAATTGGAAAGTCGAGATAAAACTTTTTGAATTTTATTATAGTCTTAATTAAATTTGAGGTTGGAACGTGAATCATTGCTATTGGCAAGTCAATAACTTGTATCGGTCACCGTTTACGATTTCGTATACTAACTTCTATTCTAATACAGTCATTAATTATATGTGATTATGTTACTTAATCGAAAAGTTTTTATTTGTTTAGCGAATTTGAAGTATCACTTGTGTTCTAAAATGACAGTCAATACTTTTTTAAGGGATTTTATGACCTGGTAACTAAGACCTTTAAGTCATGTCTTATTTTAGTTTTTATTCTTATTTTTATGAAAAATTATAATGTGGAGTGAAATGAAATGAAGATGATTAATTATGTTAATCAACTGGGATGAAACTAAAGGAATATACATGATATTGGATGAAAAATAATATCAGTAAAATGGTGGTCATTTACTGAGATTTTTTCAGTGGACTTTTTGGAGGATCACGAGAAGTTACATCCAGTGGCTTTGTTTAATTTTCCCACATTTGTGCACTTTCACAGATATTAAACAGTTAATAAACCACCGTTATCACACATTTAAATCTGAAGAAACACTAAATAGACAAAATAAACCAAATCAGACAAGTTCACTCCTCGCGTTCCCGCCAAAAAGTCACAGTCAATACTATTCATTGCGTTTGATTCTACCCTCTTTTTTTTAGAATACATAAAGAACGTCACAATGAACCACGTGGACGTGAAATATCCGTCATTGGAAGATCTGACGGGAGCAGCTCAGGCACTGACTCGGTTGCAGGAAACCTACTATTTAAATGTACACGATCTAGCCGAGGGTATATTGAATGGAGTTTCATACAGGTAATTAATTGACTCATAATTTCTATTGGAGTTTTTTTACTGGTGGTAGGTGGTTTTTACTTGTGAGTCCGCATGGATAGGTACCACCACCTGGCCTATTTCTGCCGTGAAGCAGTAATGCGTTTCGGTTTGAGGGGTGGGACAGCCATTGTAACTATACTGAGACCTTAGAACTTATATCTCAAGGTGGGTTGCGCATTTACTTTGTAGATGTCTATGGGCTCCAATAACCACTTAATACTAGGTGGGCCGTGAGCTTGTCCACCCGTCTAAGCAATAAAAATAAATAAAAAAAAGTTACTGTTTAAACTTGGACATCGGCTATTGCAGTTTAGTACACGGCTTTCAATGTAATTTTCGTGTCATTGCACAGTGTCATTGATATGAATAAAGTATACAAATTCAAACGCAATCAGATGAGTGCATGCGAGGTGAACGAACGAACACGGAAACATTTTTTTTTTATGTCTAAAACAAACAAGACGAACAAGTTTTTTGGTAATTTTTTATATAAAAATTTTTCATATCATAATTTTCGATGACAACTTCACAATATTTGGTAATCGTTAAAACAAAACGAACAATTTCATTGTAGTGTGCTCTCACTTTGCATCAAGTAGAAATATGTATTATCATACTAAAATAATTTCCGATGAATTATATGCCCCATTTTTTTTTTTTCACACACATAAAAATATAATGATATTCATGCAAAACTATTGAACGTCGCTGTGAATATAAAAAGATAACAGATTTAGTTGTGTGTTGAAATTACATAATTAAAATTTATCAAACCATACTAGATTGTTGAAAAAATCTTTATATTATCTGTGTTAATTTCGGTAACGTCCATCAATCGGTATTTTTTTCCAATACATATTTCGTTTTATGTTCCAACCCTGATTAAGTTGGAACACAAGCCGAATGCATATTTAAAAAAATGACTAGTGCTCTGGGGATTTCCGGTACAAGCTAGACTTTCTGCTACCAACCCAAAAAATATCGAATATTAAATCAATTTTAACCAATAAATCGCTCCAAAATATTGTATAGAAAATCGGAACTCTATTTTTTGTGTTTCTTAATTAACAGCAACACTTTTTACGTAATTCATCATAGCCTCGATAATTATCTACACAAATTTAGTTCCCTGCATCTAATCTGAATATCGTATAGAAACCAAAACAAGTTTTCTTTTTTGAGATAAATCCGTTTCTTAAGATACAGACAGACAGATGGACATTACCTAAGGATTACGATTTATACAATCTGGACACTTCGACCTCACCGCATACGTGTGTCGATGGGGTCTCGGATAACATCTTAATAGTGGGCTGTTAGCTTGTTAATTCCTTTGCACATAAAAATGCAATCCTTATTAAAGTAAAAACGAGAACGAACTAGAATTTGAATCGAAGTATTTTAAATGATTCGAATGCTGTTCAATCCGTTTTAGTTACATTTGTATTCTGTAGGTACATATTATAGTTTACTTTAAAAAGTTGAAAAAGTATTCGTGAAGCTCTTTAAGAACTGAGTAATTGTTAACATTTATTGCGTATAAAATGTTATCATTTATCACACGAGCAACCATTTCATAAATTGGAATTGATTAAAGTATTTTTGTCATATTTGTGCAATTAACAAGATCGCCACAAAAACAGGCGGGAACAATAACTTTTTCAAATATATCACACGCTCATACTAAATGCTAAAATTCAAATTGTACTTCGTAAAATTGAGTACCACGGAATAAATTTTATAGCACTTAACAAATTATGAGTTGATTATTGTTACTAGGTTTTTATTTTTGTTTGAACGAAATTAAGTAAACTTTGACTTACCTATCTTAATTTTTGGTTAAGATTATGTAAACAATATATGTTTTTAAACGACTATAAATGATAATTAAGAGATTCTGATAGCTTAATTAGGTATTTATGTCACACGAAATAAATCATTCAAATAAGTTTTTTTTAAAATACTGATAGAAGTAGCAGCTCCGATATGAATATCGTGTTACTTTTATGTAAATGATACATGTAACTTTTTTTTTAATATACAGTGTTTGTGAACAAATATTATTAATATAAAATATGATCAAACATACCGAATTAGTTCCAGTAAAATAAAATAAAATAAAATCTAAAAAAATATTTTAAAAAGTATTATATTATAGTTAGTGGATCGGGAGGATCCGAAATGACATACGTACTTGACAAATGTTAGTGATTGACTTCCACGATGAAACTAACATCGTGTAACATCGCACAGGTAGATACCACCACCCCGCCTATTTCTGCCGTGGAGCAGTAATGCGTTTCGGTTTGAAGGGCGGGGCAGCCGTTGTAACTATACTGAGAACTTAGAACTCATATCTCAAGGTGGGTTGCGGCATTCGCGCTGTAGGTGTCTAAGGGCTCCAGTAACCACTTCACACCAGGTGGGCGGTGAGCGTGAAGAATTAATGTAATTACTGAATGATTGTTCGCAGTACTCCTATGACGGCGAGCGATTGTTACGAACTCGGCCGGACTCTATACAACGATAAAGATTACACAAACGCCTTGGCCTGGATGAAAGAAGCGCTAAGGAAATATAAAGATGAAAACGTCATGTACCCGTTCACCGAAGTCGATATCTTGGAATATATAGGATTCGCATATTATTTAAACGGTATTTTTTTTTCTTCCAATTTTTTTTATTGAATCTACGGGTGCTAGGCTATTTAGTTTAAGTGTCATTTTTGCATCTTTAAGGATAACCATTTAAAGTTTAAAATTTGAAAAAAATTCTTTCGTCACAAAAAGACTTTCTTTGAATTCATTCAGCTATTTGAATGGAGTAAACTTAATTGAAGTTCAATTAAAAACATCGAACCGTTGATGCTAATACCAAATAAAACGGACCTATAATTACAAGAAGATTTTACTGGTAGTAGGACCTCTTGTGAGTCCGTGTGGGTAGGTACCACCACCCTGCCTGTTTCTGCCGCGAAGCAGTAATGCATTTCGGTTTGAAGGGTGGGGCAGCCGTTGTAACTATACTTGAAACCTCAAAACTTAAATCTCAAGGTGGGTGGCGCATTTACGCTGTGGATGTCTGGGCTCCAGTAACCACTTAACACCAGGTGGGCTGTGAGCTCGTCCACCCATCTCTCTCTCTCTCTTCGATCGGTTCCTCACTGCTGAGGATCGTGACTCCGTCCGATTTTGTCAACCAACTGTCTCCATCGATCCCGCCCTGCAGCCCATATAGCAATAAAAAATAAAAAAGATAAATGTTGCATATTAGGCGCAATTTCGCTTAAACCAAATAGTTTTTCACCCATCGATAAGTTCGCAGCTATGAAGATTTTATTGATTTACAGGAGACGTCAAAACCGCTCTGGAATGGACTCAGAGACTTCTGTCCGTCGATCCGAAGCACGTACGAGCGCGGGGCAACATACCGCACTATCAGAAGACGATAGCCGAACAAGAGGCCGAATTAAAGAAGCAACAACGTGGGGTATACACGTATATATACACTATACAATTATTTTAATCAGGACTGTCCTTCAAAGTTGGAAGCATTATATGAAAGCACAAAAAAATAAGTAAAAAAAAAGTAATATTCCGGCAATGACAAATATAAACTTTAATGTATCTAATAGAAATGTTGCCACATATATGTATTGGCAACACTGGCTGTAACGACGTTGTTTTATGTCGTTATTTAAATCAGTTTTTTTTTTATTCTAATTTATTGTGTTGTCTATGGCATTGGTGAAATCAAAGTTTTCATGTGAATGATGTTATTTATAGGAAACCTCGGATGAGCCTGAAGAAGAAGACGGTCAAGATTACGAACTATCAGAGTACGCAAAGGAACGCAAAGTTTACGAATCGCTGTGTCGGGGAGAAATGGAAATACCCCATGAGATTACTAAGAGGTTCGTGTTAATACTAGCATTTAGTAGCACTCAAACAAAATTAATAAAAATACATTTAAATACCCATCTTGTCTTATAATACCACCATGATAATAGTAGTCGATCGACAAATAAAAATTTTTTGTAAAAATCTACCATTCTAAATAAAATTCAGTGAAGCTTCCGTGGTCCTTCTTGATAAGATGCTAAGTTCCCTTCTAAAGCGAATAGTTTATTTTACTATCGACCATTGGCAAACGTGCCCTTCCCCATTGGCACTGTTAGATGGTAGGTAGGTATCGATTCTTATAAAGAAAATAGCTGATCCGGCAAACGATCTTTTGCCATATAAATTATTTCTAGGAAAGATAAATAAACTTATAAACCGACTGCAGTGCCATCTGCCGAGCTGATTTGTGAATCTAAACCATCCAGGGCGCCACCCAAATGTATACAAAAAAATAATTCAATTTGGTCCAGCCGTTTAGTGGGAGCTCAGTAACAAACACACGCACAGAAGAAATACATATATACATCCGTGAATACAGACGAGCCCTAGACACGTCCTTACGGATCCATCAGATCCAATAACTCTTGCATTAGACGCCTTCAGCTCTAATACTAAGAGCAGGCTCAGGGACCCCGGTAACCGGTAACCCGTGCAACCTAATCCATGCGTCAGCCCACTGAGTTTCACGCCGGATCATTTCAGTGGGTCAGGACTCTAATTCGGTCGTAGATTCACTCTTGAAGCAGCTGCTCTTGAGTTGTTAGGTCTCCTTCAGAGGCGCTCGGGTAGCTTTTAGCAAATCTCACCCTCCCACCACTCCTGGCTGAGCCCGTGATCGTCCACTTGTCCTGGTTAAACTGGAAAGCCCTCCGGGCCACCAGTAATCCTTCAATCATTAAAAAAAGGACGACTTGACAATCAATCGAAAATACCGTATAATTAAATATAGTTATGTTCGATTAATTGGGTAGTGGGTGGTGGGGCGTATTGTGATACCGCACTGGTAGGCAGCATCATTCTGCCACGAAGCACCGCGTAGCGACTTCATCACGCATCTGTTTATGAAAACTGAAACATTAAAGTCAAAATAATCAATCGCGAGAAAAAAAATTTATTTTTATTTCCAGTGTATAAGTATTGTTTTAATATAACTCTTAATAAAGTACTTATCTATCCACTTGATAATAAATCAACAAAACACATGGTGTCTGTTTCAAATATCTTGAATTCGATGATACTTTTAACATAAATATTGCATAATTTCGTCTAAATAAAACCTTACAAGTCTCTAAATAAAAAGTCCAGATCAATGTTTACAAAACAAACGAAACTACGTAATTGTTGGCTGAGCAATTTAAAAAAAAGCTTAAGCAAATGTAATACGTACGTACTTATGTATGTATTACCATCCGAACTCGGAATTATGTAGGTGTGGTATGTTTCGTCAGACAAATTTGTTACGTATTTAGAATAAACGAATGTTTTAAATATAAAACCGTATTATATGTATATTATGTATTTTTATTGCTGCTAAAGGCAAACGAGATGATATTACGCCTGCCGTGTATAACAGAACTGGAACCTCGATATTGTCTTAATGTGGGTAGTAACATTGACTTTTCTATGTCTATGGGCTCCGGTTACCAGCTAACATTAGATAGGCAGTGATACTAGGTCGATACCTAGTTAGTTAGGATATTATCAGCAAGAAAACTAGCCCAACTAAACCCACCCGCAATCATCTTTCATATTTTGTATTTAAATTAGCGACAGGCAGGAAATTAGAGATAGGTCCGTTACTAAGCCCGCAAGGGTATGTTTCACTACCCTCTGTACTTGTACTGTGAATCGGTAATGCATTTCGGTTTGAAGGGTGAGACAGCCCTTATACTGTACCCTTAGACTTCGAACTCATGTCTCAAGGTGAGCGGCGGCATTTTCGCTGTTGATATTTATGGGCTCCGATAACCATTTAACACCAGATGGGCCGTGAAGCTCGTCCACCCATTTAAGCAATTAAAATAAGCTTCATATCGTAGTATGTAGGCGTTTAATTTATATAAATGCAAAGTCAATTGCAATGAGGCTAGTGTGAAATATAAAATAAATTCGGTCAAGCGAAGTCAAGCGAACTATCTAACGCGAGGAACACAATGGGTGAGCAAAATCGAAACCACGTGGACAGCCTTTATGTTTGTACATAACCGGGTAATGTATTTAAATTGCGAACGGCTAAAGTTAAAACTCGTTTTAATCAAACACTATACGTTCGTTGACCTCGGTTTGCTTTGTCGTGCAGGTTGAAATGTTGGTACGTCACCGACACGCATCCGTTTTTAAAGTTGGCCCCAATCAAAGTGGAGCAGATGTACGTGAAGCCCGACATATTTATGTTCCACGAAGTGATGACCGACGACGAGATTGAGTTCATCAAAAAACGAGCAAAACCGAGGGTGAGTTGGAAATATAGAAAATTTTCTAAATATAAATAACGGTGATAATGTATTAATTTTTACAAACAAATAGTTACCGTCATACCATAGGAATACTATACTTGAGGTATAGGGTAACTATACTTGAGACTTTAGAACTTATATCTCAAGGTGGGTAGCGCATTTAAGTTGTAGATGTCGATGGGCTCCAGTAACCATCTAAGCAATAAAAAAATATGTACAGTTGACAAAACACTCCTAATTTCAACTTTCTGACAACTAAATAAATGTCAATGTCATTATCTAACAATAACGCACCATTCTGTAAAATAAAAATATAAAATAAATAAAATCTCAACAGATTTCAGTTAGTCTATTTCCCTAACCGCTAAAAGGGAACTGGCAGAACGTTTTTGTGCAACTCCTTGGCTACCTTTGTGCCTTGTTTATTTCAAATAATTGGTCATATATAAATCATGCATTTGATAGGTATGTAGTAATCGATATAGTATTTGGTAGTCGATGATACAATTAAAGCTTCACGTCTCCATTGTTGTTAAGGAGAGCACTTCAGCAATTATATAAAAAAATATGTTCGGTAAAAAATAAAAAATGCCAAAAAAAAAGAAGTAGACCACAGACCATGAATAAAATCCGTAATAATTTCTCAGTTCAAACGGGCTGTCGTTCACGACCCTAAAACTGGCGAGCTGACGCCGGCCCACTACCGCATCAGCAAGTCGTCGTGGCTCCGCGACGAGGAGTCACCGGTCATAGCGCGCATCACGCAGCGCGTCACCGACATGACCGGGCTCAGCATGCTGCACGCCGAGGAGCTTCAGGTCGTCAACTACGGCATAGGGGGACACTACGAACCGCACTTCGACTTCGCTAGGGTAACACATCACATTTTGATTTGTGTCAACTCATTGTTTTTTTAAGGGATTTTATGACCTGGTAACTAAGACCTTTAAGTCATGTCTTATATTCTATTATTCTATTCTATTCATTTATATTCTTATTTTTATGAAAAATGATAGTACTGTGGAGTGAAATGAAATGAAGATGATTAAATTGAGACATTAATCAACTGGGATGAAATGAAACGAAATGAGATGAGATGATATGGGATGAAATATAACCTCAGTAAAATAGTGGTCATTTACTGAGATTTTTTCAGTGGACTTTTTGGAGGATCCCGAGAAGTTATGTCCAGCGGCTTTGTTTCATTTTCCCACATTTGTGCACTTTCACAGATATTAAATAGTTAATAAACCACCGTTATTACACATTTAAACTTGAAGAAACATTAAATAGACAAAATAAAACAAATCACACAACTTCTCGCGTTCCCGCCAAAAAGTCCCCCTACCTATTCGCTGGCATCCTAAGGGACTATTCCAGCTTCTCGCGGATGGTTAACTGAGTTAAATTTTCGAACTTCGAAATTCGAAATTCGAACAATGACATGTTTAAATCCGCAATCCGCAAAAATAATATTTTTTTGTGAAAGATAATAATCAAGTAGCCGGCACTAGAGTTCAACGAACGATTAATTATTGTGTGAATTTACTATTTTATCGCTTCTTTGTTGCAGAAACGTGAGAATCCATTCACGAAATTCGGCGGCAACAGAATAGCCACCGTCCTCTTCTACGTGAGTATTCAAAGAAGCTGAAGATTAAAATCAAACTTATATTAGAATCATTTAATTTAAATTGATTTAGGGTACAATTAAACTCGGTCGTATAGGATGTTGGCAATTAAAAAAAAAACAGAATATTGATTATTAATTCGTTACTATAAACCGTATTGTACGCTTGTAGATGTCTGACGTGGCGCAGGGCGGCGCTACAGTGTTCACCGAACTTGGACTCAGTTTGTTTCCAATAAAACGAGCTGCGGCGTTCTGGTTGAACCTGCACGCTTCGGGCGAAGGAGATCTCGCCACCAGGCACGCCGCCTGCCCCGTGCTCAGGGGCTCCAAGTGGGGTGAGTTCGACAAACACAAGCACTTTAAAAAAAAAGCGCGTGCAACTTGGTACACGTGAATGAAGTGTAACTTCTTTTTCGATGTGTAGTATTGTGGTTTTCTTAATTTATCATCCTTAAAAGGAGGGAGGGGGATGGGCGGTAAGAGATCTAGAAAAAAAACGGCGCACGTAAATGAAGTGAGACTTCTTTTTCGATGTGTAGTATTGTGGTTTTCTTAATTTTTCATCCTTAAATCAGATTGCTCTTGTAATAGGGAATGCTGTGTATAAGAGATGCGACAACTTCAACACTTATATTATATATTTTTTAAATTATAGATACTTCTTATTTTTTAAATTATAGATACTTCATTAAAATATCGGACGCTACACGTTGCTAACGCTCGCGCTGGCCTGTAACAGGTATACTACGCGCATGCGTTCGAGTGCCACGCATTCACTCTCGCTCTGTCTCTTTCTAGTATGGTAGCTGTAAACGTTTAACGCAACCTTGTTGGAAGTCGCATTAGAAGTTTCACTTCAAAAATTCTGGAAAATTTGCTAAGAACCTACAAAACCAAAGACTCGTATGCTACGCTAACGTTGTAAATGCATTGCTCCATAATACATTAACATAATTCAGAATATTTGCATCCTGGCCTATTACTGTTAATTTAACCCTTCCCATTATTTAAATTCTATCCACCCTGTATTGTCACGCTAAAATCACAGCCAAAAAGTTTTTTTTTAGCTTAGATGTGTGGACGAGCTCACAGCCCACCTGGTGTTAAGTGATTACTGGAGCCCATAGACATCTACAACGTAAATGCGCCACACACCTTGAGATGTAAGTTCTAAAGTCTTAGTATAGTTACAGCGGCTACCCACCCTACAAACCGAAACGCATTACTGCTTCAAGGCAACCAAATTATAATCTGTATTTTTTTACTAATGACAAAATTTTACATATACTTAAGACGTTTAGGATAATTGTATTTTAATTTTGGAAGGTTTCACTTCTACCACGTTTGAATTGCACACATGTTTTTTTTATAACAGAAGATTTTATTTATTATTTATTATTTACAGTGTCAAATAAATGGATACATCAAGGAGGGCAAGAACTGTTGAGGCCCTGCGACCTTGAGTACCAGGAGGAGGGCATCATCCGCAAGATTCCTCGTCCAGTGCCGAAGACATCCAGGTAGACTCCGAGCAACGACTGACCGAACGGAACTGATCATAAATTGTTCGGTATAGCGCTTTTTTTTTAAAAATAAAGTAGATTAAATATTAAATAGTATAATAGAATGTTGGGTCTGTGTAGTACACGTATTCGACTTCTGTGTCTAGTGCGATTTTACGAATAACCACAAGCATAATCGACTAGAATGCATAATTTTAATTAGTTACGGGTCAAGAAAGAAGATTCTCATTATGAAAGACGCCAAGAAAATTACGCCAACTAACTCTTAGGAGATGTTTTAAGTAACTACTTTAATAAATAACCAATAATTTGAGTGCAATTTATACTATACTTTTAATATATTTATTAAATTGTTCCAATTTCTTTACTTTCCCCTATTTAGAACGTATAGTTTAAGTTAACGTGATTTGTTAAATCGTAAAATATTAACAGTAAACTCGCACCAGGCACACAAAAAAAAACTTCTATTATTCCGAACAAATTCACAACTAAACATATCTAATTTAAAAAATATGTTAATAATAAATAAGTTGCAATGAAATACTAATATATTCTAATGTATTACATATTATAGTGATGTCTTAGAATAAACCATCGTGGCTCCATGGCTCGTGGCTTAGTGGTATCATGCCCTAATAGTTCAAGAAGTCCCAAGTACTTTATTTAAAACAGGCATAGCTTTTATGAATAGTTTTAATTGCTATGGTAATGCTGAAAAAACTACTAAAAAGAAAAATGATACAGTATACTTACGGACACATGATTATAATGCGCTGAAACAAAATGTACAATTTAATTTTATTTTTATTTTTTTATTTAGAATGTAAACACGATGATCGACTAATGCTTGCCTAATTAATGACAGACATTTTTTTTTTAAATAATTTATTATTCGTAATGTTTGTTTTAACGTAAGTAATTAATTTATAATAAATATCTACCGGAGGCTCTTTCTCTGAATCTCTGTTACAAAAATAATTAATATATTCATCAGAATTATATAGAATAAGACAAATAAAATAGTGATTATATTAATAGCGCATCCATGTCAAGTTTTATCCATAAGAAATGTACAGATTACATTTTTAGGTCAATTCTTAACTTTTGCAAGTCTGTCTGCTATTGATCAAGAAATGCGGGTAAGTTCCATTATATTACCTTAACTCATCCGTAGTAGAAAAATCATTTTCACAATCACCATATCTATCCAAAGTCTTCCTGTCTTAATTTTACTAGTGATTGGGCGTATTGGAAGTCCCTACCAAAAGGTACTTGCTATTACTGTATTATATTCTGCGTATTTCTTTCACAAAGCATTCCATAGCGCGTACCGTTCTGAACGGTTAGAGGAAAAAAACCTAGACTAATAATAATGTTGAACAAATAAATATATATTTGGATATGTTTATTTGCCATTATATACTGAGGGATATAAAAGCTACTAACGGATGATTATAAATTCATTTTATATAAACATAATGTAAATAGTGAGTGTAAATTGGAATACGTTTTTAAAAGAAAATCACTAATACTCTTAAAATATGATTTGCCTCTACACCAGTACTCTAAAATTATCAAATATAAATTTAAAAACTGTTCCTATAACTGGAAAATGCATGAAGAAATATAGCAAAGAAAACCCTCTAAAGACCAGTGACTGATCAAAATTTTGCATGTACTTTGAAAGATTTATACGTCAATTAACGCAACATACTTGTGTATGTATTGTGTACACAATACACAATATTGACACCGCTTCATTCTCGTATGTCCATAATATTAATCCTGTTTTTTTTAAATTTTAACTTTAATCATTATACATTCGTGCTACATGTTTGTCATCTTTCATCTTGCTTTTTGATTTATTTTTATAATTAAAACTTAGTTGTGCATAATCAAGAGACTCTTGTACCATTAGTATATTTGTAGTTTTAAGTGAATTACATGACGAAAATAATAATAAAATGAAAGTACATATTATATTATTAGTTAAGACAAAGCCATTGTAATGCATTTAAAAATTAATATGAAAAGTTCAAATTTATTTTATTAATTTTAATAAATGTACCATCAGGGTCGACTATCTTTATAAGAAATAAACAACGCTTTTTAATATTTAATGTTTTATTTACCCAATTACAACAAGTACATAACTTTAATAAGAAAACATAATTTGGAACGAGCGTCTTTCACCGTAAACCAAAACTCAAGTATTTTTTTTTTATTGCTTAGGTGGGTGGACGAGCTCACAGCCCACCTGGTGCTATGTGGTTACTGGAGCCCATAGACATCGACAACATAAATGCGCCACCCACCTTAAGATATAAGTTCTAAGGTCTCACTATAGTTACAACGGCTGCCCCACCCTTCAAACCGAAACGCATTCCTGCTTCACGGCAGAAATAGGCGGGGTGGTGGTACCTACCCGTGCGGACTCACAAGAGGTCCTGCCACCAGTATAGTACCACCGGTGTAGTATAGTAGCGTTAATGATGATTGCACTCAATAATTAGCGGTTTTTAAGTGCCAGGACTGGTGGTGATAACGCAAACGCACTGGGTAGTGAACGCGCGCTGTATAGAAATAATAATGACAATAATAAAATAAAATAAGTGTTACACGATAAATGTCAAATGACGAAAACTAAGTCAAATTATATATCGTCGTTGTCAAACCAAAATCTGCTATGTGCAATTTTTGAGATATTTACTTTTTGAACTTTTCGTATAGTTCACAGCCCTATCTGCCGTATAAAAAAAAACCGTTGTGTCTATAGCTTTAATATTTATCTATAGCTTTTATTTGATATAGTTCTTAAAAATTGACTTTCATATAAAAATTTATACGAAAATGTTTTTACTCGTTAATTCGAAATAGAGTTTTTGCACATAGCAGATTTTGGTTTGACAGCGACGATATATCGTTTACAGGTGTATGAAAATACAATAACAATTCATATTCACATCAAAAATTATCTTGTAAAACTCTCTTACACATATCAGACATCTCTCTACTCTAAACTTTCTGAGAATCAAACCATGTACATAGGTACTATATAGCATGCATGTAAAAGTGATCATTTACAGTAAAGTCGACAAATGAAATTTAAAGTTAGATGTCGCTAGCATAGCTTCATCCGTAGACAATATCTATAATCAACTTTAATGTCTATGTGGATATTAGTTGTTAAATTGGTTAATTGTTTCTATTCGAAAAAAAAATTGACAATACAGAGCACATTTTTCTGTGCATGCAGAAAGATTTTAGATCCATGCGTATTCTCACGTCTACTCTAGCGCTCACAAGTTTAATATCATTGAGTTCGCCGGTTTTAAAAACTTTCCTATGCTTCCTCCGACGTAGGTACTTTTAAACTTTAGAATGCTTCTATCACTTCCGGTATCCATGATATGTACCACATGCTCATATGTTTGCTAATGCAATAAAAATAATAAGAAATTTGTATCTAACAAAATCTGACGTTATTTACGCTAGTAATAAATTATTTGAGTTGTACTTCTCATTACATACAAGTGACGTAAAAGTGACTCCCCTAAATGCCTAAACGTCATAAGGGGGCGTCCATTAATTACGTGAGGCGTTTTTGAGATTTTTTTGATGCCCTGTCCTCCCTTGGTGAGATATCGTAAGATTTTTCTCAACTCCCTCCCTCCTCCTCTAATCTCATGCGAGATTCTTCAAAACTTCTATTTGGACGGTAAACGTGTAGAATTATTGAGAAAAAAAAACTTGCTCTGCGAAGTTCGGACGAATACGAACAATACTATTTTTCCAAATTTGTCCATATTTTATTCTAGAAATAATTATTCACGCAATTTTACACCGTTTTCTGCGAGAAATATAATTAAGTGATATTTGCCAAGACCCCCCTCCTCCCTAAGTGAGATTTGGAAAAAAATTGTTTGATCCCCTCCCCCCCTAGAACACCTCACGTAATTAATGGACGCCCCTTAACTAGAGTAACACGGTGAAATAAAATTATAATAGGCCGCTCTGGAAACTTCGTGTGGCGCTCAAAACGGCTGGGTCACTTCACTGTACCCACAGCACATACGAGTTCATTTCAAATTAGGATTAATGAACATGCCAGAACTCGTGCATTCAAAGATAGCAGTTGAGGTAGTAGAGTAATTTAGGACAACAAAAACGTTACATATAGAATTATCTGTATACTGTACATAACATTCCTGTTGTTTATACATTACCCAAAATGTTCTTTCTTCATTATTAAAACCGCGTTTTTTTCTTCTTCTGTGAAGCTCATAAGAGTGTATCAGAACAAACAAAGTAAGTACATGCACGTTAGGACTTTAGCATTGCACACTACTGTGTTTGCTTTGAGACGCTCTATTGTCACTTGGTGTGTTCTTGTTAACTTCAATGGAAATGGACTTGCCTGTTCTTTGTTTCAACTTCGATTTGTACAACAAAAATAGTTTGTTGGAATTCTGATATTAACACCCTAACCCAGTGTTAGTAACCACAGTTGATATTGAACGAGCGGTTAATGTTCATGTATGAACAATGATATGATACATGAACAATGATACAATTCATGTATGAATCAATCAAAGCGATGTAAGTTTTTTAAGACACATCTATACTAATATTATAAAGCTGAAGAGTTTGTGTGAACGCGCTAATCTCAGGCAGTACTGGTCCGAATTGAAAAATTATTTCAGTGTTAAATAGCCCATTTATTGAGGAAGGTTATAGGCTATATAACATCATGGTAAGACCAATACAAGTGGAGCACCAATAAAGAATGTTTCAATATATGTTTACTTTCTACGTAAATGAAGTGGGGGTGTAAAATTTTGCGTTATGCCAAAGTTTCACGCGGACGGAGTCGCGGGCAAAAGTTAGTATTACATAACAGCTTTCAACAAAAAGATAATAAATACATACATATGTGCCGACGATAGAGTGACACGTAAATGTTATATGTAGTGGCTTGACTGGTGCTTTTTGCATTGTCTCTGTACAAGAAAGACGGTATCAAGTTTAGTAAACAACGACTCGGTGGGTGGAGCTTTTTGGCCTTCGTTGGTAATAAATAACGGTATATAATCTTGAAATAGTAAACTAGGTATCTCAACTTGAAAGTAACCCGATTAATTTTTATTTAGAGAGCGTACTTAATTTACATGTACAAGTTAAAGCACACGTTGTGTAAATGCTATGAACAAGAAATTCACCACCAATGTTTAAATTTAAAAGTTCTTAAAGCTATGTTATAGGTTGGCTAGCTCCAAATTGAAACGAAGCTACGATAGGAAATTATGTATTTGAGAGTGACTATGCCGCCTCCAAGACAATACGCTTTCCGGTCTAAAGAGCATATCGGCTTTCCAATGTAGCTGAGAAACTTCTTATATTTTAGCGGCATTCAGTTGATATTTGCCTCGTAATAGTAACTCCTTAATCTCAGCGAGCGGGCGTGCCTTTTTTATGATCACAATTATAAAAACAATTTTTCGGACTAAACGTTTTTTTTAGTTGCACGCTATTACATAATTCTCAGCGTATCTGAATTAAATTAAAATTGAGCGTCGTATCGAACTCACCTATAATATTTTAATCACCTAATAAACTAGTGACTAAAATGGACACTACACACATGTATCAGCTGAGAGCTGACAATAAACTGGTGTTGCACCTTAGTACTTCAGTGGGTAATGATGAAACCGGAGCTGTCTACTGTAAACATCCACTGAATGGAATTCGCGATGTCTGTCGCCCGGTTCTGTTTGCGATAATAATGTAATTATTTCAAACTTTTCAGAGAAACTACTAGTCACGCGTTTCAATGTTTTTTTTGTTTCTTTTATTGCTTAGATGGGTTGGACGAGCTCACAGACCACCTGGTGTTAAGTGGTTTTGTGGAGCCCATAGACATCTACGACGTAAAAGCGCCACCCACCTCGAGATATAAGTTCTAAGGTCCCAAGTATAGTTACAACGGCTGCCCCACCCTTCAAACCGAAACGCATTACTGCTTCACTTAATTATGAACTTTAATAGGTTTCTGTATTTGTACAAAAATCACAATAACCAAATAACGAAGAGAGAGCATGTTCTTTATTTATTTACAATAAGTATAAAGTTGATATTAGTGAAATCTACTTTGATGACGAATTCTGTGTAAGATGATTATGCCGAATCTACTTAACTATCAATTTCTATCTATCAGAGAAGCAATAATCTAATTTACTTAAAGATTTCTACAAAATAATTCGAATACATTTAATGTCCGTATATCAAAAGCCTAACAAAGGTTCTGAATCATCGGAGGGTGATTAAGATCGATGCCACTAGAATCGAGGCGAGAAAGAACATGGGAATTGTTTAAACCCTATACTAAAATGTATCTCTAAGCTTTTTACAATGGGATGTAAGAGAAACGCTACTTGAAGACTGGTGCTAATGCTGTTCTAAGTGAAAAGAAAAAAAATTAAATACATCACAAACAACAGCTGCCAAAGCTACTTTCGATTTTGATTTAATTTACGATTACACGAAATCTAAACTTCGATTCCTTAAGCTGATAAGCAAGACTATCGGATATTATAACTCATTTCAACAAAAGTAAATATTATGATCTTTTATTTCTAATTTCGAAGTTTAGGATATTTTCATAGGTGTGTTGTAGAAGGCGACTCAGGAAATTTATCGAAAAATTCATTCTCTAAACGTACTACCCACTGCGATCGGCCAAAGCCATTATTACTACTGTTCGTAGGACCTGCACATATAAAAGACAATCACAGCTTACTGGTGGTAAGGCGTTTTGTAGGCCCGCACATTTACCACACGGTACCACTACCTCACCTATTTTTACCCTGAAGAAGTAATACGTTTCGGTATGAAGGGTGGGGCAGCCGTTGTACTATAAAACTGAGACTTAGCACTCATGCATCAAGATGGGAGCTGCTATTTTCGTTGTTGATATCTATAGGCTACGGTTAAAACAAAATTTGAAGTTTGAGATCGTCTTTATACAATATAATTGACAGAATATATCCTCTTTATGATACTTATAGGCTTCGAGAACAACTTAATACCAGGTCGGCTGAGAGCTAGTCTGACCATCTAGACCAAAAAAAAAGCAATTATCTATTAACAAGATACCTAATTGTTCGCACGCGCTTGAATTGTTTTGCAACCAAAGAATCTCCGGAATTATTAAACAGGGCGACGCGTTGATATTTATTCTTTCTTAGGAATGTTGTGAGTTTTCAATAAGTCACGTGTCTGGCGATCGTATTAAAATTTGCGGTAGTATCGTTCACTGTCGTACCAAGAACCGTCGCGATGTGACAATTAATGGATGGGTGGTTAGAGTTTAGGTACCATTTATTAATGCTAATATCTAGATATATTTAAATGTAGGTATATTGTAAGTTACGCAAAGTTTTAACGATTGATTAAAATAACGATGTTGATGAGGAAACTATCTTATAACGAAATCTTATGATATTTGTTCTTTTTTCTAGATTCTGTTTCTTTCCATCACCACCGGCAGGTATGAAAGTGAAGTAAAGGTATTTTCCATAGTGAAAATAAATTGTATTATCTGACGAATGCCCAATCTAATTAGCAGAATCTGTTATTGTGGATATGCCTAAGCTAAGAAATTAGGTAGGCGAGCCACCGTTGTTGCTGCGTTAAATATTTTATCATACTATTGAAGGAAAATAGTGCGCTTTTAGATGTTTTCTATAGATGTGTATAGAGATTGTTCTTTGTTGTTTGTTCGGTCGTAAATAGGGCGAGGTTACCTGGGACTTCAAAACGGCGCATGTGCTAGGAAGCTCCCGGGCTGAGCTCAACGCATGAAGTTTCCGAGCGTATATAGGTACGTAAGTATTCCGAAGAATCCTCGACTCAATTTATTTAGGTACACATCGTTCACATGTAAAGACAATTCTTTCTAAAGGAATTTAATTTTCTCGACAAACACGCGAATTACGGTACATTTATGTAAGGTATTACGTTGATAAAATAATTTAGTCTTAACGGCTTACGCAGGGCGGTACGTAAAGAGCTTTTGATTTTTTTTATTATTATTTGTTTACCCGAACAAATTAAATTGTATTATACGTAAATGTAGCTTAAAAATTTTCGCCATATTTATCGTAATTTCGGTTATCATATAATTAATATACATACTAGCTCTGAAGTAGGTGATCTATGCTAGAAGTCATGTTTTCTAGCTAGGGCAAACTTAAAAATCGTTCTCGCTTGAAGTTGTATGGTTTGTAAGAGTAATTGAAAAAAAGGACTTTATTCTCTATTTACTTAAACAAGACAGGCTAATTTTATACCACAAATATCTACAATATTCGACTATTGAATTGTAGTTTGTAGACATGCACGCTCTAAAGGTTTCTACAAGGGCATAATACTGCTCAGTGGTCGACCTTTGTTGTTTTACCATCAGAATTTCAAGTTCACGACAGTTACGTAATACTAATAAAAACACAACCAGTAGTAATAATTTTATTCAAGTCCGACCAATTACTGTCCTTAACAGTAATCCACTATACTGTACACCGAAATTTTTAAATATAAAACGGTGATACATTTTACTTACAAACATGGAGATTAATTAAAATTTGTTTTCATAAAGCTAAAGATATAGATGATTTGTCTATGAAAAAAAAACATTTTGGTGGCAGAACCTTTATTGTTTTAGATGCTTCACATAAATAAACATTATGAATTTGTCATTATTGCATATTACAATATTCAAAGAGTTAAAACATTTAAAATCTACTCTATTTAATAACATCAATACACATATTCAACACCAAAATTAAATACTGATTACAAGATTAACACATTTCATTCATTTAAGTTTAAAATACTACATCACTAACAGGGAACACAACACCTATTTTGGAATATTGAATTTCATAAACAAGTATTTGAGATAGTAAAGAAAAAGGTAAAAACAAAACCAAAAACAATATAAACATACAGCCATGTCTCACATACCCTGTAGTTACACATATCTTGATTTTCACCACCATAATATTGTAAAAATAATATTATCATACTTATGAGTAAGGTAAACAGGATCAAAAATATAATTTTTAAATAGAGATTCATTAGATCTTAACATATTATGTTCTAAAGAAATGTCAATAAATCAGACTCACAAGTTTTATTCCAGGAATGTGCAGGTCTTAAAGCTAAGAGGGGCACAGCTACGAACGTTTCATTCTAATTCATCCACTTTGGGGTATATAATTCTAAAGTTACCTCTAACACCGATTAATATTTAAAACATCAAACACCAAGAATATAGTAATTAAATTACGAGTAATATTCGAGACACATTGCGTTCGCGAGCTGACCTTATGGTTATAATTTACTTTTTCTAAATCACAATAATTATTATATTCTCTTAAATAATGAAACTATAAACAACTAAATAACCATAACAAAATTTTACAATTATAATGGCAAGATGTAACAGCCAGGTTTCTTAAGTACTTTTTTGAAGAATCCGCTACAATCTACTAAGAGCATAATTCATGAAAAATTAATTATGCTTCAACTGACAATAATCTTGACAGTTGTAGAAATCTACATTTAGATTTCATAGTTGCGAAACTTGGAGAGGACCTCAGAGGGTGGTTCTTGATTGCCAGTTCCCCAGCGTCCCCAGAGAGCAGCTCCGCCCTCAGAAGCCCGACGTGTGGCAGGGTTACTGGGGCCAAGGCTAGATGGACCTGACGGCTTGCTTCCATCTCCTTCCAACATGCGATCCTTAGTATTAGGCTTGGACCAGTGCATGGACTGCTGCACATGATCTTTCATACCCAACCACTGCTTGAAGCCCATAGCTATACCACTACGACGCCACTTGTCATACAGAGCACGCTTGGATGGATCACACAGAATCTCCTTGGCTTCCTAAATAGAACATTAAGAAAAGATGAAACACAATTATAAACAACCAAAACTTATAATCTGGACATTAACATTATTTGAATTAATACATGCCTTTAACTTCTGAAACTTCATTTCAGCTTCTTTTTCACCATCGTTTTTGTCAGGGTGGTGTTGCAAGGCAAGTATCTTATATTCTGCAGTTATTTGCTCCACCTGTTCAAAATTACAAACATAATTCATTCAATCCCATCCAATACAGAGACAGTAAATATTGTATTTAATTATTTAATTTTAAAATGCAAAATAAATGTTTTTGTTTTTTTTTTCACAATGTTCTTTCAAGTTACATTTGTCTGGACTTGTATGTAATTATAGCATGTATATTGGTATCTAATTATATTGTGAATATTTAGGTGCTTAAGATATTAATTATAATTTAAAGTAATTTGTCAAGTTGTTTTTAATATTACTATGGGAGACCATGGCAGCAAAACAAAAACTAAACAAATATGTACAACACAGGATGTCAATACTATTAAATAAACGACCAAAATCGAATCTAATTTCTATTATCTTTAATTACATGGAAACTAAATAAAATACTTGCATTTGAGTACATACATAAACCTAAATACCTACGTAAAACGTAAAGAGGAAAAACCTACAACCTACGTCATTCAGTTCATTCTCTTTCTCATAAAATCCAATTTAGATTAATAGTATCAAACCTATTGTGAAACAGATTAAAGTTAGTTTAAATATGATGTCTAGATGTAGGTCACCTGGGGCTCGCTGGTGAAATAAGGTCATTGAGCAGATCCGAGATAATCGATACCAACCTTTCTAACAATTTTGTAACATTCCTTTCTATGAAATATTTTTTTATAAAATCTATATAGGTACTTACAGTTGAGTTTTCATCACAACCCAGTAGGGCGTAGTAGTCATCATCTGGGTTTCTTTGATAATTCAATATTTCGTCCACGCCAGTCATTGTAACGACCCTCCCGTAGAAAACCCCAGCAAAGACTGACTCAGGCTGTCAGAGGGTGGAGGGGTGGCGGGCGGGGAGTTAGCTCTACTTTGCTAAATGAGTGAAGGAGGCGGAGGACGGAGTTACGTTTGAATTGGTAGGAACTGGGAGGAAAGGAGGAATGGAGGCTAGCATTGAGCAGAGACCCATTTCATTGACTCGGTGAGTCTTCTCATAATTGTTATTGTGATATTAGTTTCTTTTTTCGACGCCTGGTTTGGTGCCGAGCTTTTTCTCATTTTAAGTTACTTATTGAGAAATATCTGTTTTGAGATTATTAATTGCTTTGATCCGTCGTTTAATTCTGCCCAGAATTTGTTCTATTCACGATTATTGAAGAGTAAAAAAATCCCGTAATTTTCCTTAATTTACAGATCGAAGATCTTTATTAAGTTCGGATAACCACTGGTACTGGTGACACAATGTGTGTTTAGATTACTTTAGATCTGTAGGGGTAGGGACAGAGGTTGTTAGGTAAACAAAATTCTACATAGTCAGAACTCAGAACATGCGGCTGCGCCCGCAAGCTCCGTTGCCTATTATTTTTTAAGTTCAGTCGCTAATAAACGCTCCGATTAATCAGTTGTCTTATTTAATTATCTCACTTCCGATAACGCCCTGAACCATTATAGAACACTACCAAAATAACACCAAAAGAACCAATCCTTAAATTTTCGATCTGGATTATTAGATTTAAATAACGAACAAGGTCGAAATTGACTTCTGTAAGAGTTGAAAACGATGATGGGGGGCGGATCCATTTCAGATAAAATAAGAGACCCAATAACAAAATTTTTCAAAAATATTAATTCATTTGCGTTCAACTAAACGAAGTCTTAAGGAAAAGACACCCGAAGCATTCGTATCAAGCGATGCTGTAAACTGATCAGCCGTTGCTGTAAAACTGAAACTTCAAACTCATGTCTGAAGGTGGTTGGCGGCATTAACGTGGTTGATATCTATGGGTTTTGGTGATCAATTAACATCAGGTCCGCCGTGAGCTCGTCCATTCAGCTTAGCAATAAAAGTAACATATAAGTATTGATTTTGTTTTAATTTAATTTTGGTGTACAATAAAACATGTTCTACTCTACTTTACTTATTCTGGTCCTATCTAGTCTGATCGCATCATGTCACCTTTCAATCAGCCACACTGTCATCTTTGGTTCTCATCTAGTCAGCAAAAAAGCAGAGCATTTTTTTATTTATGTATATTATTTTTGGTTAAAGTTTATATAAACATTTGTAGTATGTGCTCCAACTTGATTTGATAATTTGTTTTCTTATTATAAATATTACTTTTTTGTTTGAACTATTTTAGTTGTTGACTGAAGCGCCTGCAAGTGTTAAATACGAATGCAATGTCATATTAAATACTATTAGGACGAGCAAATGTCCAGGCGTTTTTATTAAAACAAACCGCTATAACCTTTGAATGCATTTTTTATTGCTTAAACCAGTGTACAAGTTCACGGCCAGTGTTAAATGATTCATAGAAATCACAATGCTACCCATCTTGACTCTTGACGACTATACCTCAATTGTATATAATAGTAACTACGCAAATTATATTTTTTCCTAGTTTGATTTTTATTACTTACACGATTTCATTCCTTAATCGCAGAAGTCATTTGTGAACGTTCTTAAAATACATATTTCATTGGAAAACATTGTTTCTGTGGGCATTTGAAAATGATACGAGTACATCAGGCGTCCCAACTTAACGACGACGACTTCGTATGTTGGTGTAGGTCAAAGAGTATAGTAATAAGTAGGTGCATAATATATATATATATATATTTTATGATTGAAAGATTATTGGTGGCCCGGAGGCCTTTCCAGTTTCACCAGGACAGGTGGGCGAGCAAAGGCTCAGCCAGCCTTTGCTAACAGCTACCCGAGCGCCTCCGAAGGAGACCTAACAGCTCAAGAGTAGCTGCTTCGCGAATGAATCTACTACCGGATCGGAATCGCGACCCGCTGAGAAGATCCGGCGAGAGCATAATATAATTGTACGTCCAATCGATACTACTTTATTCTTTTGGACTTTTATTACTTTTAGATTTTTATCTTGAGTTATGTAATGTGTGTTTTAATTTTTTTTATTCCGTTTCACTATTTTCTTCGGTTTTCGCGAGTTGTAAACATAATTAAAACTGCTTATAAGATATATTTTTTTAATGGCTTGTAATGAAACCTGAATCACGCTAACAACATTTTCAAGATAAGATTGCACATAGTATATAAGTTCCGCACAATAACATTCAGGGTATCGGTCTACCGAACAATTTCACCTGCTCGGTGAAAAATCCCCCCTTTTTCGATTCCCCCAAAATTATAATTGGTGAACGAGCTCACGTCCCTTCTTTTATTAAGTGGTTACCGGAGCCCATTGAAATCGCCACGTGAATGTTGCCACCCACTACTTTATACTTTTGCTGATTGTAGGATGCTTTGCTGTAATACCACTGGTAGGTACTTCAGTATTACTATCATCATTATACTCGTACATAAATCACCATAATGTAATATATGTGTCGAAGTATTTGACTTGGATACCTCTACGGAACACATTTCGAAAAACGTTCTAAATTGTGGGACACATTGGATTAAACATATTTTATTATATACATATTTTATTATTATATATATACATATTTTATTATTGTACATTGCAATACACGGTCTGGCTATCAATACTCGCACAATAAAAAAATTATGACATTTGAAATTGGAACCTGTTATTTTCATTTAGTATCTACCTATTTATTCCGTATAATCATCTTCGTGATTAAAATAGAGTGGGGCAACAGAGAACCGAATTGCTCTAATTACATGAAGTAGATATAAAGTCAAAATCATTTTGTAAATATGAGAGATGTCGATTTAATATTTTTGGAATGTTGATGTCCTCCTCCTTGCGTCGTTCTCCTCGTTACTGAGGGTCGTGACTCTCTCGCTGCATCTATCCTCTTGTACGACTGCTGCGATCCTTGGCCTCGTGGAGGGCATCGTGGAGCTTGACCGAGTTATAAAAAAAACTTAATATAACCTGTTTGTGACTAAAATATTCAGAAAAAATCCTACGCGTAAGTAAAATAAAATAATTTATAATATAAAACCCAGAATCAAGTCGAATATTTCGAAAGATGACCTAATACCTGCTGCTAATAAGAGAAGCACCGGTTATTAATTAGTCAACCGAAAATCAAAATACGACAGGTTAATAAAATAAAACCAACTTGTCGGGCGGCATACCAGGGAAAGTCACAGTTTTTTTTTTGCTTTTGAGCAAAACACGCTTGGTGGAAAGGAACGTTTCTGACTGAAAACTGAAGACTGGTCATCATATAGTCCTGATCTACATACCTTTATTTATGCTTGATGTCTCTTTTAGATATATACAACATATTTTAAACGAACTATTCATTTGAAGTACCTAAAACATTTGATGCGAATGGCAATAACGAATTCTATCATAGAGAAATTGTGTGTTTTATTCGAAAACTGACCATTATTTCGAGGGCAATGAAACTGTAGGTATACTGGCAGTGTTATATAAAACGTGAATGAAAATCATTTCAATGAAAGCTGCTATTTTTATATTAGTGTTATAAGCTAACACACACTGCATGTACAATAAAAGTTTGTGTAAAGAAATAAAAAATAATAATTGTAACTATAGTTATGATAAGGCTAACTGTAACATTCAAAGCTGGATATACCTACCATTTAACCTTAAAGGAGAGTCGTCAACAGGTCTAAAGCACAGAATACAGGTGACCATCAATACGTGCCCGTANGCCATTTTTATATTAGTGTTATAAGCTAACACACACTGCATGTACAATAAAAGTTTGTGTAAAGAAATAAAAAATAATAATTGTAACTATAGTTATGATAAGGCTAACTGTAACATTCAAAGCTGGATATACCTACCATTTAACCTTAAAGGAGAGTCGTCAACAGGTCTAAAGCACAGAATACAGGTGACCATCAATACGTGCCCGTACACACGAGAAGGCTGACGACATTGCATATTCCATGCATGCTCTAGACATTGGCGTCTCAACGCGCTTTTGCATCAAAAATAGCCACTGAAGACGCGCTAAAACGAAGTTTACGCTCAGCCCGCCGACCGCCACGGCCGTGCGTTACACTCCGATCAATAAAGATCACGCGAACTACATTATATTACGAATGTTTTCTCTCGCGAGTTATGATTTAAATTAATCTTATGTTTTGTCGCCGTGCGCCCTGTCAACGAACCGGTCGTACGAAGATCTTCCATCTTTGGCAGCGGAAGTAGCGGCGGATGTCCCGGCGATGGGTGAGCAGTGGCATATGTAATGCTTAACAACAATGCTCGCAGCCTCGTTCTCACATTTTCTATTCGGCGGGTGTCTCTGCCGAAAGTTTGTCAACCTTTTAATTTTTTGTTTAGATTCATTTATAATTCCTTAAGCAGATCTACACTGTCTATATGTTATACAGGGATATAACATCTTTACGTTGATATAACATCTTACGATTTACGTGCGATGACGTTGACGGCACTAGTGAATCTTTGGACGACCTTTTGTTTTTGATCAGTTGTTAGATTAAAGATCTTTAAATTTAAATTGATTGCGTGAGCATAAACAATTTTTCATTACAGTACAAGTTAATACCTATTAATATTAAATGTACAGAGACAGTACCGCCAATTTAACTTTCTTGTTTTCAAGTAAATAATTTTACGAGCTGAAAGCTGAAAGTAAATATGCTTTGAATTTTTCTATGTGCAAATCTGAATAATAATTAAATTTAAGCTACTTATATATATGTTAAATGAGCAGCCTTACGTTTTATTCAAGCAACGAAAGTTTTCCGATAAGATAGGTAGATAACGTCCTTGCGTGTGTAATTATGTATCGGGTGTACGAGACATATCCCCGAAGACAAAGAAAGGTGGCGGTGGAAGGATTCACGTGACGATAGCGTAAACAAAAAAATATAGACTATACCCTACTGCGTGCTTAAATTATAATGAATACAAGAACATTAAAATAATAAATGTAAAACTAATAAAGCATCAAGTATTCGCATAGGTTCCTACTATGGATGTGACAAGGATACTGCAGTGCACACGAACGCGATCTGCGGCGCATTTGAGAAACAGTACAATACCCTAGTCGCAAAATTGAAAACAAACAACTTCTCTTTGCCAAGTGGAGCTACGATCTTTAATAGCGATGCATATCAATAATGTATTATACTAAAAACCTTTTAGAGTGTTTTTTTTGTAAAATAAAAAATATTGTCATGTGATCTGATGTCGATGTCGATTTCAAGTCGTGACCTAAACGATAATATTATGTTATCGTATCGAGCGATGACTCTATGCCGATGCTCATATCCTGCATGCACTAATTTTCTAATGTACATACTTAATATACGAAATGTTCACGAAAAACTTCTATGATAAAGAATAGCATTGTGTGATAAAAACTAAATACGCAAAAAATATAATTTGCTTAACTGCTATACAACTAAGAGATAGACCTCAAGTTTCTGGGTGGCAACTTTCACGATCTTTAGAGTTTAGCTTTATCTATAGGCTCCAGTAACCTAAGGAAATAATAAAAAACAAATTGTCATTCGACTTCACGTAAGCTTAGTCAACGCGAAACGAAAAAAAAATGTTGTAGTTAAAGAAAGATTGATGATGTAGAGATTGACCATGTCGTAAAATTGTAATTCATGGTTTTAGGTTATTATTAAATAGATAATACCAACATTTTATTTTCCAATTGATACTTATTACAATGACGATGAGATAAATTTTAATTTAACGTTTAAAAATGTGAAATGTCTGTCCTAAGTAAATCTCGGGCCAAACCGATACTTTAAGTTTCAATCATTATATAGTTTTGAATATTAAATACCCGATTACTTGACCTTCGAGCTCCACAAGAACTAGCCAAGTTTTTGTTGTTTTAAGGAAACTAAATTTGAAAGCAAAATTAAACAAAACATACAAGGAGAAAACAATAAACATACAATAAATAATGTAATCAGTAAATTCATATAATTTTTATAAAATTAAATAATAAATGACACTATGTAGGTATGCGTGTATGAAAACAAGGGTACAACTCGGTAAAGTTATCGTCAAATCTATGGTACGTGTGACATTGAAGGAATGATGTACGGTTAGTCGCGCCAAATGCTACTGATACTCTTATGGTGACGGCTTGCTGGGCTCTATTCAAAGAAGGCATCAATTAATTGATTAACATGCATAGTTTGTAGCGGTGGGTTAAAATGGGCCCGAGTATAACGACTTAATCACTGGCTTCTGTAAATAAACCGATTTACCAACGTTGGCACGTGCGCTTGCGGTTTGTTTACCTGCTCGTTATAACTGATCAATAGCCATAAGGGATTTTCGAGATGTTTACGAAGAAATGTTTCATGTAATACGAACTGTATAACGAAAATAGTACCTGGTATTCTGTTTATTAATCGTACTTTGATCTCTATCTCCTACTTGTCCAAGGGACAAAATGAGACATGAATTATTAAGAGCCCAAACAATAAAATAAAGCAGCCGATTTGAAGAAAAGATTTTAAAATTATTTTTCCTATAGATGGGTAGACGATTTTAAGGCCTACGTGGTATACAATGATCACCGGAGCCCATGGGCATTACAAATCGAATGCCGTCACCTTGATTGAACCTTGATTCAAAGAAGGCTATCTTACTCATCGAACTGAAACGCATCGCTTCTTCGCGGCAGAAATAGATAGGATGATACCTATCCGTGCTAGCTTACAATACGCCCTAATACCAGTATAATCGACAGATCACGATGCTGCCCACTCTTCTATGAATGCCTCAGTCGCCTTTACGACACCCACGGGAACAGATTGATTCTATTCTAGTACAACATGACAGCCAAAAAATCACCTGGCCTTATTAATAGCCGTGACGCAATACTGGTCCCATTGCGTTTATCTTCATGACGTTTTAGAGCATAATTTTCGCTACGTACCAAGCAGCTATAGATCGAGTCCCCTTTTCGGTGTTTCCGAAGAACATTTCCTAGAACTTAGGTTATCTATCTATCTATATATATAAAAACGAATTGCTGTTCGTTAGTCTCGCTAAAACTCGAGAACGGCTGCACCGATTTGGTTAATTTTGGTCTTGAATTATTTGTGGAAGTCCAGAGAAGGTTTAAAAGGTAGATAAATATGAAAATGCTCGGAAATAAATAAAAACAATAATTTTGTTATTCCTTTGATGTGTCCCCCGTCGGACGAATACCTTTTGTTTGTTTTAAGTTTATTTTATACAAAAGCTTAGGTCTTTTATTTATCGATTGAGGCACTACGAAGTCTGCCGGGTCAGCTAGTTAATAATAGTTATTAGCGACAGGTGGTGGCTTTTTTGTAATTTTACCGGTGTCCATAAATGATTGTGGACATTTACGATCATGTTAAAAATAAACTTATGTTCTTTCGGTGGCAAAAAACGAATGGGCACTGCNTAAGTTTATTTTATACAAAAGCTTAGGTCTTTTATTTATCGATTGAGGCACTACGAAGTCTGCCGGGTCAGCTAGTTAATAATAGTTATTAGCGACAGGTGGTGGCTTTTTTGTAATTTTACCGGTGTCCATAAATGATTGTGGACATTTACGATCATGTTAAAAATAAACTTATGTTCTTTCGGTGGCAAAAAACGAATGGGCACTGCGTAACAGTAAAACTTCACGAAATAATAGCAGGGAAAGATCGCTTTCTTTAATAAACATGTGGTACTCGTTATCTTCGATTTAGTTATATGTTCACAAGGAGTGTTCTTGTTCATTAATTAGTAAGTATTAAATCATTTATTTGTTGTTTCGTAGCAAGCTCGTTATTACGACTCGATAACCAAAATGTTTAACGCTTTCTAAGAATAATGTCGATACCTCTTTGAGGATTGATGTACCACATACCTACATGTCTATGCTTAATTAAACAGCGCAGTTATTATGAGAATGGTATTTAATATGCTATATGCTATTATATATATAATATTATAATAATTTAGGTTTTGAATTATTGTAATTGAAAAATGTTTTATGTAGGTATTTAACTAAATGATTTACGTATTTCAATTTTGGCGGACTTGCTATATTTATTACAGATTAAAACACTTTATAGTGAACGCGGCCAGTGGTAAGTATAGGGTTACTTATGTACAATCCGCAATTTGATATCACAGCCAGAATACATAAGGTCGAAAACTTATTGACATATAGTTAATAATGTTAATGGATAAAAAAAATTACGATTATGTGATACTTCAAATGGGTGATAAAATTGCCATTTCATTTATATCGCTGTTCAGTTTATTTCTTGAATCATGTAAAGTCAATGTAAAGTCCATTTTGTGAATTGTTGTAGCGCCAAAACTGATACCCGTAACTTTTACTGGTGGTAGGACCTCTTGTGAGTCCGCGCGGGTAGGTACCACCACCCTGCCTATTTCTGCCGTGAAGCAGAAATACGCTTCGGTTTGAAGGGCGGGGTAGCCGTTGTAACTATACTGAGATACCTTAGAACTTATATCTCAAGGTGGGTGGCGCATTTACGTTGTAGATGTCTATGGGCTCCAATAACCACTTTTAATACCAGGTGAGCTGTGAGCTCGTCCAACCATCTTAGCAATAAAAAATATATGTTTTTATATAATACGAAGTACATACGCGTGAAATGGAAAACTGTTATTCATTATGATATAGGTTATCGAACTTCGAATTTAGGTTGAGTAGGTGTTCATAAGCATCCGATATCTGGTTATTGTCAGTCTTACGATATAAATTTTATAACAATAGCTTCCACGCCGGAACTAGCTGACCCACTTTTCAGAAGAAATGGTTATGTTTATTTACACACATCCACTTTCCAACTTGTGTTGTTGTAATGAGTTGTTGCTTCCTATTGCTTAAGTTTTCGATAAACGCGATCGTTACTTGTCGAAATGGCCAAAGGAACTTTGTGTTAGGAAACTTAGAATGATTTATATCCCGTCTAGTTTTTAAACGTAAGCCACGTTTTATCAGCAGTACCATTATTTAGAGTAGACAAGATAATCTAGCACATTGAATAATCTATTGCACACAGATTGCACCGAAAAAAGTTATATTATTATATAATGGGCGGTTTTATCCGAAAACATACAGATTGTTTCCCTTGTGTAATAAATCATTTTTTTTTACTTATAATGCTATTTATTTTTCATTTTATTTTTCAAAAACAAAATTAAATGCAAACGTGTATAGAAATTTTAAAAAA